TTTGCAGCTTATGCATGAAAAAATCGTTATTTTTTTCCCAAATCAAATATCTTTGGCCTAAATTTAATATCTGTCTGGCTACTTAAATCTAATGACTGGATGTTTAAATCTAATTAGTCTGAATTATTCTTGTAGACCAAGATACTGTTATGCCATATTACGATTGTGAAACATACTCAGGTATGAAAAATACTGGTCATTACTGGTATTATGTTCACAAACCTGTGCATTCTTGTATATTATAAAAAATCATCTACAAAAATGGAGTTGTCACTAAAAATGTTTTTAAACAAACATAGAGTCCTGCTTGGTGGGAGACGGCCAGTGTATTAGAACAATTACATGACCATGAATAAGAAATTCGACCGCCTTCACATGGTTGTATAGGACAGCCAATGCTGGCATATGTGAAAGACATTTATGACATTTATTACAGGTAATGAATTATTTCAGGTAACAATTATATGACATTTTATTACATGAACAATATTCTGGACTATCTAAGAGAATAGAATGAGGGTTACAGTGGACCCGGGGTTAAGATTATTTTTTCAATCCAAGAGTATGTTCAGTGCAGGTACTGACGAATTTGGCTCCATAAGGAATATTGTGAAGTAGATTAGTCCATTTTCAGACCCCCAAAACATCTGTACAAACCCATTACATAATGGTTGCATTGGGAGTTGTTCGTTAAGCGGGGGTCACTGTATATGTGGCACAAAGACAGTGGCATGAATGAGATTGTGGCTAGTTATCGTGAGAGATAGTCGGCTTCATTTGATTTGCTGGCTGTGTCCAGGTTAGGAAACAACTTATTTGGCAAATACCTGGAGACATTCAATTTGCCCATTTTGTGTTTGGTTGGTTTTCTAAATTTTTCCCAAATTTAATGCCTTTCATGGTGACTGCTAGGGATCATCCCATCTCATGAAGTTTCCCTTGTTGTTTCTGTGTTATAAGCAGGCATTGCTTAAAGTGTCGTGGCTGCAAGTGGATTTATTTTCGAGAATTCTTAGTTTGAGGGACCATGCCATTTCACTTACATCTTGTCACATCTGTCACAGGATATGACTGACTCCTTTCCTAGTAACTAGAACTGTTCTATGCTTCCTATGTATGAAATCTTTGATAGAGGCAGAAGAGATTGTAGCTATATTGGGATGGTTGTTGGTGATATTACCTGATATGTTGGATACCACGTTGGTGACTGGTAGCACAATGTAGATGGTGGGCTTTTCTGGTGAAAATTTTTTTGATGTTTCTATCAAGGATGTACATATCAAATTCCCTACAACTGAAGATAGAATGAAGAGGGAATGTAGGAGGCTGAAAGACATGCGAGGCAAATGCAATCATTTTCTGAGTATTGGATACTATGAGTCCTACAAACCTATAGCACTTGGGTGACCTTGTTTGAAGGATGTTGACAAGACACGTGCAACAGTTAGGTATGTTTATTACGAAATGTTTTGCCTACACAGTAGGCTTCTTCACTCAAATACAGAGGCAGCGGAAGCAGTGGAGACGTAAAGATGATGTAATGAGTCCATCACCCTTAATGACATAGTTTTAAAATGGGTAGTCCCTGAGCCTGGAGAAAGAGTTCTTCTCCATAGTCTAGAACATTGTTTTACTGTGCTCATCCACTGATCCCACTGCTCACAACACGCTACTGTCTCACTACATATACTCCATCCACTACATACACTCCTTTCTTAGAGGTCTCTATAGTGGGACTGAAGAGCCCACTTGTACCTAAATCTTTCCTTTAATAAATGTCATAAGTGTACATATGTGTCTTCCACACCATCCTTGCACTATATGCAGATATGAGCTTGCTTACACACCATACTGCCAGATGTGCCTCTGCCATTTCCTCTAATCTGCTTATTTATGGTTCAATATTTATTTTTTATAGGTTTAAGTAAACTAATATACCCTAAAAAAATTTTAAATCATTTTTATAATTGCAAGGAAGATTTGGAAATTTAGGCAGGGAATAAAAAAAAAGAGATAAGAGATTTAGGGAAAGAGGAAAAGCTAGAGAAATATAGGGCAGAAGAATACATTAAGGTATTTCAAGGAATCTGTTATTCTGCAATGTGGTTATTTAGTAACAACAAAGTGAGAATAACACAAATATCATGAATGAACTATAAAATCTTTGGAAATGCTTTAACTTTGGTTCAGATCACTTTAGCTGCTTGTCTGCATTGATCAAACTTATGGCCAGATCACAATAACCTATTTATATAACATTTCACATATAATGCACAAAGCATTTAAGTATGCTGTATTGTTTAAGATAAATATTAACAATACTGTATGCATATAATGTTTGTTTTTAAGACTGGACATTTATAGAAGCTTCACATAAATGCATCTTAAGTTTTAAATGACTATTTGTAAGCTACAGGAGATTTTTTTAAGTACATTTTTTATATCTATTTCTTAACAAATTTTTTCATTAAAAAAAGGATGATTTGTTTCTAAATCAATTTCATCAATTTAGATATGTATATCAAGTAGTTTAATAAAATCTAATAGATATTAGTAGATATAAAATTTTTGTACAGTTTAATATGTACAGGTGTCCCTCAACATTCGCGAGGGTTAGGGGATCAAGAACCTCGCGAATGTTGAAAAACCGTGAATGTTTGGTGCCCCAATATATTGTAGGGAAATATAATACAATACTGCGTAACTTGTTGAACCATGAACAATCATAAAATACATGAAAACATTGTAAGTTGTACTAAATATATACATGTTATGCTTTAATAACATGTATGTTATTAAATACCACAGACTCCACCACTTCCTCAACCAATGCAAGTCCCTACTACCCTCCCTCCGACCCCCGCAACTGGCAGCCAGCCCTCCCACCACTCAGTGTGGTGAGTGTTTTGTTTGTTCATTATTTGCTATTAAACTACAGTATAAATAATGTAAACACATTCATGACTGCATATTGGAATGGCTATTTGAACAGGTATTGGACGGTGACATCATGTGTTTACTCTTGAACACAGCAAAGAATCAAACATTTCTGCTACTGATAATAATAACAATAGTAATAATAATAATAATAATAATAATAATAATAATAATAATAATAATAATAATAATAATAATAATAATAATAATAATACTATATAATTGAAGAAGGAACTTGTACAAAAATACGAGGGAGTGGTTGACACATCATCAGTGTGGCTTTGTTTATGCTGGAGTGAACATTAGTCTCCCTGCTCTTCCAAACATTTCACAATAATTCAGCAGTTGAGGCAGTGGTAGAGGCAGTGATAGAGACAGTGATAGAGACAGTGATAGAGGCAGTGATAGAGGTAGTGATAGAGGCAGTGATAGAGGCACTGATAGAGGCACTGATAGAGGCACTGATAGAGGCACTGATAGAGGCAGTGGTATTTACTAACATATACGTATGTTATAAATAATAATAGTACATGTTAATATTAATAACATTTATAATAATAATAATAAATGTTATTCATAATGTACTATTATTATTTATAACATATATGTTAGTAAATATCACTGCCTCTATCACTGCCTCTACCACTGCCTCTATCACTGCCTCTACCACTGCCTCTATCACTGCCTCTACCACTGCCTCTATCACTGCCTCTATCACTGCCTCTACCACTGTCTCTACCACTGCCTCTACCACTGCCTCTACCACTGCCTCACCACTCCAGTCACACTCAATCTACAAGCACCAAACAATGAATTATTGTGAAATGTTTGGAAGAGCAGGGAGACTAATGTTCACTCCAGCATAAACAAAGCCACACTGACGATGTGTCAACCACTCCCTTGTATTTTTGTACAATTTCCTTCTTCAATTATATCGTATTATTATTATTATTACTATTATTATTATTATTACTATTGTTATTATTAGCAGTAGCAGAAATGTTTGATTCTTTGCTGTGTTCAAGAGTAAACACATGATGTCACCGTCCAATACCTGTCCAAATAGCCATTCAAATATGCAGTCATGAATGTGTTTACATTATTTATACTGTAGTTTAATAGCAAATAATGAACAAACAAAACACTCACCACACTGAGTGGTGGGAGGGCTGGCTGCCAGTTGCGGGGGTCGGAGGGAGGGTAGTAGGGACTCGCAGGTGGTGGGAAACTTGAATGTGATTTGGCGGCTGGGAATTTGGTGGCTGGGAATTTGGCGGTTGGGAATTCGCGAGTGTGTGAAGCCCGCGAAAGCTGAAAACGTGAATGTTGAGGGAGACCTGTATATAAAACTTATTAATAACACTCGGAGAAAATAAAAAATGCGAGATTCTTTCGTGACACAACCTGGGTAAACAGTCAATTACATACACCATTGTACCTCAGTTGTGTTTGTCAGCAGTGCATGCAACACATATGCTTGTCAGCAGTGTATGCAACACATGTGCTTGTCAGCAGTGTATGCAACACATGTGCTTGTCAGCAGTGTATGCAACACATGTACGTACTGGTCAGCAGTGTATGCAACACATGTACGTACTTGTCAGCAGTGTATGCAACACATGTACGTACTTGCCAGCAGTGTATGCAACACATGTACGTACTTGCCAGCAGTGTATGCAACACATGTGCTTGTCAGCAGTGTATGCAACACATGTGCTTATCAGCAGTGTATGCAACGTGTGTGCTTGTCAGCAGTGTATGCAATACATGTGCTTGTCAGCAGTGTATGCAACACATGTGCTTGTCAGCAGTGTATGCAACACATGTGCTTGTCAGCAGTGAATGCAATATGTCACTCCTAATATTTAATTTTTTTAAAATGCTGAAGAGTATACTGCATGTATTTTAGATTAACACTTTTACATGTTCACACAAAATGGAAAGAGATTGTCTTGGTTTATAATCACAGACAAAAATTTAATGAACTATAATCTTAAATTTTCTAGGAAGATGTAATCAAATACTCACACATGGATGTCATTTTCTAAAGTGAAAACTGGAAATGATACAGAAATTTATTAATACAAACCAACATCACAACTCGTCATGTTTATTTCCATATTTGGGTATCCATTGAGGAACCCTATTGATGATGTCATTTTTATCGAGATTCTGAAAATTAATTCCTTCTGTACTCTGACGATTACCATTGGTTGAGCCTCTGTAGAGACGGACAGTAGGATAAGCATGCACACTAGCACCTTGGCATACTCTGCGATATTTCTCACAGTTTAATTTCCCAGCATTCACAGAACCCTCCAGACCCTGTGAAAGAAATTAATTATAATTGCAGAACAAAGTCAAAATGATCATCATAGAACCTGGATAAATAATATACATATATTTTTCTCAACAAACTGGCCATATCTCACAAAGACAGGATGACCTAAAGAGAAAAACTAAAGTTTCTCTTTTTTAAATTTAGTAATGTATACAGGAGATGGGGTTACTAGCCTCTAACAAATTTAATACAAGGTGGGAGTTGCCACAGTTACTCATTACTGATGAAAGGGTTCTTATGGGAGATTCAGGAGAGAAGATACAAAGACTGATGGAGGAATATGGGAGGGTATGTAACTAAAGGAAATTAAGAGTGAGTATAGGAAAGAGCAAAGTAATGAGTGTAACAAAACATCAAAGCAATGAAAGATTGAATATCAGATTGAAGAGAAGAGAATGAAGTAAATTACTTTTTATTTATTAACACATCAGCAGTTTCCCACCATGGTAGGGTAGCCTGAAAAAGAAAAATTTTCACCATTATTCACTCCATCACTGTCTTTCGAGAGGCATGTTTACACTACAATTATAAAACTGCAACATTAACACCCCTCCTTCAGACTGAAGGCACTGACTGTAGTTCCCATCTCCAGGACTTAAATCCGGCCTGACGGTTTCCCAGAACCCTTTCATAAATATTACCCTGCTCACACTCCAACAGCACATCAAGTCCTAAAAATCATTTGTCTCCATTTGCTCCTATCTAACACACTCACACATGCTTGCTGGAAATCCAAGCCCCTCACACACAAAACCAACTTTACCCCCTCCCTGAAACCTTTCCTAGGCCGACTTCTACTCCGCCTTCCCTCCACTACAGATTTATACATTCTTGAAGTCATTCTACTTTGTTCCATCCACTCTACATGTTCAAACCACCTCAACAACCCCTCCTCAGCCCTCCAGATAATAGTTTTGGTAACCCCACACCTCCTAATTTCCAAACTACAAATTCTCTGCATTATATTCACACCACACATTGCCCTCAGACACGACTTCTCCACTGCCTCCAGCCTTCTCCATGTTGCAACATTCACCACCCATGCTTTGCAATCATATAAGAGCATTGGTATAAGTATACTCTCATACATTCCCCACTTTGCTTCCATGGACAAAGTTCTTTGTCTCCACAGATTCCTCAGTGCACCACTCACCTTTTTCCCCTCGTCAATTCTATGAAGTAAATGTGCTCAAATATTTGGGGGTGGATTTGGTGGTGGATGGGTCTATGAAAGATGAGGAAAACCACAGTAGTGAAAAAGGAAGAAAGGTAGGCAATGTATTGAGGCATCTGTGGAAAGAATGGAAACAGAGTATAGTAGGACCAACACTGTTGTATGTATGTGAAGCATTGGTTTTAAATATTGCAGTGGAGGAGGAGGCTGGAGGCAGTGGAGATGTCTTGTTTGAGGGCAATGTGTGATACGAATATTATGCAGAGAATTCAGAGCTTGGAGATTAGGTGTGGGGGTTACTGAGCATATTATTCAGAGGGCTGTTGAAGTGTTTATTTGTAGAGGATAGAGCATAACAGTATGTCCAAGAGGGTTTATAAATTTGGGGTGGAGGGAAAGAGAGGTAGGGATTGTCCCAGGAAAGGTTGGAGGAAAAGACAGTGCTTGAACTCTGAAGGAGGGGTGGGAATATTGCAGTGGGTCACATAAACCACAATGTCAGCTCACCTCCAGCAAGACAGTAATTAATGAATGATGGTGAAAGTGTCATCTTTTTTGGTGAGGGAAGGGGTGATGATGTCAACCTGCTGCAGTGAAAAACAACCGGTGTTAACCCTTTCAGGGTCCAGACCCCCAATCTGAAACTTGTCCAGGGGGTCCAAGAATTTTCAAAAAATAAATCTGTTATTTTTTCTTATAAAATGGTAGAGAATCTTCTTCTGAAAGTAATAAAACAAAGCACGAAATTTGATGATGAAAAACTGACGAAATTACACTATTGCAAATTTTGCTGCATCAGCGATATTTACACATTGGTGATTCCTATTTTAGGCCAATTACATTATTCCAGTCGACTAAATTCTAAGCTATTTCGCTAGTATCATTTCTATTTTATCGACCAAGCACAAGAAACTGCCCAATCAACTATATCAATTACCCAATAAAGTAATCAGAAATTGGTAATTTGGCCAATTTCACACAAGGTTCAAAATATTCCAATTTCAATATAGGGTCCAGAATAAACAATACAGCATTCCTTTACAGATGAATTCCATTTTGATTTTTTATTCACATTAAGAATTTTTATTCACACCAAAAAATAGATTTACTGTTATGTAATATTGTAATAATTGTATAAATAATATCAGCGCATTTGTGAACATATATTAGACCCACCAGTTGATGTGCAGTGGATGCATGATGTGATTTAATAACAAAAAAAGGCACAATACCACGACTGGAACAATACACAAATAACTCGCACACAGAAGAGAGGAGCTTACGACGACGTTTCGGTCCAACTTGGACCATTTGCAAAGTCACTTGTAAATGGTCCGAGTCGGACCGAAACGTCGTCGTAAGCTCCTCTCTTCTATGTGCGGGTTATTTGTGTATGATGTGATTTGTTCACACTTGAACATCAGTAAAAACCGAGCATGTCCGCTACTTTGAGCTCAATTTCAAGCTATTTTCGATACTAAAATAAATCAAAATCATCTCTATTTCTGTAATACATCTTCCATTCTATCAAATGAGACCAAGAAACTGCGAATACAACCTTAAAAATCATACGACAATACACCGCAAAATCACTGTTTTAATCCAAAAACACAATCGTAGTTGTTTTTTTTTTCTCATTATGCATTGCGTGCTGCAGGAATTGTTTTATATGGTACAACTTCCCACACAGATGCATTCTCTCATATCTAGGCCCAAATTTACTACTCACAGCTTATCTGAGTAAGCTGAGCTCATGACATAGTACTACGGCACGAACTCTGGCTTCAAAGCCGTAGAACTATGGGATGGACCCTCAAGGGGTTAAAAAGTCCATTATATTCAGAATTATTCATTATCATTATGATTATGGAAAAACAATCTCCTTATTCAGACTTAACAAACAAACAAACAAACATCCTCTCCTGGCTATTGTGTCATTTAAACTGAGGGTTCGCTGCTAGTAAGTCAGGCTGACCACAGTCACAAATGCCTCAAATTTCAAAAGTGCAGTTAAATGACAATTCACCTCCAAAATGAGCAAGGAAATATTAATACAACCAGTAAAACACTTACCCGAGCAACATCTTCAAAGTCTGGAGCAAACACTTGACAGTGACTGCACCATGGAGCATAAAAATCAACCAACCAGGGCTGTTTGCTGTGAAGAATTTTTTCATACAATTTTTCATCTAAATCAACCACTTTTGAAGGAAGGCTGGTGTATGTCCACTGACGGAAGGCTGCTGCATCTCGAGACCATCCATTGAACTTCCTAGGGGAGGAAAGTTTAGGATTACATGGTATAAGTTATATAAGAACACAACTACTTCTATTTAAAACAACTAATTGTCACTCTGTTTTTAAGAATGGTTGAACATTATTTTTGTTAATGTAAGTAAAGTACAGAGTTCTCTGCTTTATGTGATACATGTGTTCTTGGCATTTGCACATAAGGCAAATTCACATCAGGTGAATTCACATAATGCAAACCAAATGTAGCATGTAAAATATAAGATTTTGCTCTGAGACTTCGCAGATTCCACAGTTCATGACTAATGTTTACTAAAAATAAGAGCTTATTACATACAAAATATGAGTTTCTTTCTTTCTTTCTTTCAACACACCGGCCATATCCCACCGAGGTGGGGTGGCCCAAAAGGAAAAATGAAAGTTCTCATTTTACATTTAGTAATATATACAGGAGAAGGAGTTCCTAGCCTCTTGCTCCTAAAATATGAACTTTTTTTTTTATTAACACACTGGCCGATTCCGACCAAGGCAGGGTGGCCCGAAAAAGAAAAACTTTCACCATCATTCACTCCATCACTGTCTTGCCAGAAGGGTGCTTTACACTACAGTTTTTAAACTGCAACATTAACACCCCTCCTTCAGAGTGCAGGCACTGTACTTCCCATCTCCAGGACTCAAGTCTGGCCTGCCGGTTTCCCTGAATCCCTTCATAAATGTTACTTTGCTCACACTCCAACAGCACGTCAAGTATTAAAAACCATTTGTCTCCATTCACTCCTGTCAAACACGCTCATGCATGCCTGCTGGAAGTCCAAGCCCCTCGCACACAAAACCTCCTTTACCCCCTCCCTCCAACCTTTCCTAGGCCGACCCCTACCCCGCCTTCCTTCCACTACAGACTGATACACTCTTGAAGTCATTCTGTTTCGCTCCATTCTCTCTACATGTCCGAACCACCTCAACAACCCTTCCCCAGCCCTCTGGACAACAGTTTTGGTAATCCCGCACCTCCTCCTAACTTCCAAACTACAAATTCTCTGCATTATATTCACACCACATATTGCCCTCAGACATGACATCTCCACTGCCTCCAGCCTTCTCCTCGCTGCAACATTCATCACCCATGCTTCACACCCATATAAGAGCGTTGGTAAAACTATACTCTCATACATTCCCCTCTTTGCCTCCAAAGATTCACCTCATCTTTCATAGACCCATCCACTGACATGTCCTCTCCCAATATCTGAATACATTCACCTCCTCCATACTCTCTCCCTCCAATCTGATATCCAATCTTTCATCACCTAATCTTCTTGTTATCCTCATAACTTTACTCTTTCCTGTATTCACTTTTAATTTTCTTCTTTTGCACACCCTACCAAATTCATCTACCAACCTCTGCAACTTCTCTTCAGAATCTCCCAAGAGCACAGTGTCATTAGCAAAGAGCAACTGTGACAACTCCCACTTTGTGTGATTCTTTATCTTTTAACTCCACTCCTCTTGCCAAGACCCTCGCATTTACTTCTCTTACAACCCCATCTATAAATATATTAAACAACCACGGTGACATCACACAACCTTGTCTAAGGCCTACTTTTACTGGGAAATAACCTCCCTCTTTCCTACATTAACTTGAGCCTCACTATCCTCGTAAAAACTCTTCACTGCTTTCAGTAACCTACCTCCTACACCATACACCTGCAACATCTGCCACATTGCCCCCCTATCCACCCCGTCATACGCTTTTTCCAAATCCATACAAAAAAAAAGAAAGAGTTCAGTTGAAAAATAATTGAGAAAAAATTGAATCATAATCCATACACAAAACAAAAAAAAAAAAGAAGGAAAAAAAAAAAAGTCCATATTTCCTTACCTACTTTTACCAAAAGTTATAACCATACCAGACAGGCACAAAACAGTCATGCACTCACTGTATCAAATTCAATAAATAAAAAAAAATTAAAATCCCAAATTTTATCACTTTTCTCCCTCTGACCCTCCCTCCACCACTAACTAGCTTGTCTCTGTCTGGACCGAAGTGAACATGTAATGAACCTTTTTTTTTTTTTTTTTTTTTTTTTTCAACAAGTCGGCCGTCTCCCACCGAGGCAGGGTGACCCAAAAAAGAAAGAAAATCCCCAAAAAGAAAATACTTTCATCATCATTCAACACTTTCACCACACTCGCACATTATCACTGTTTTTGCAGAGGTGCTCAGAATACAACAGTCTAGAAGCATAAACATATAAAGATACACAACATATCCCTCCAAACTGCCAATATCCCAAACCCCTCCTTTAAAGTGCAGGCATTGTACTTCCCATTTCCAGGACTCAAGTCCGACTATATGAAAATAACCGGTTTCCCTGAATCCCTTCACTAAATATTACCCTGCTCACACTCCAACAGATCGTCAGGTCCCAAGTACCATTCGTCTCCATTCACTCCTATCTAACACGCTCACGCACGCTTGCTGGAAGTCCAAGCCCCTTACCCACAAAACCTCCTTTACCCCCTCTCTCCAACCTGTGAACACATAATCTCTCTACTTCTCTTCCTTCCCTTTACCCCATAGTCCAGACTTTGTGTTGAGCAACCAAATACATCAGGTTGGGTGTTCAATTTCTTTTGACTTGGTAACGCAAGACACAAACTGTAAAAAAACAGCCGTAAGATTTCATTCAAAACATGCTCGTTGGATTTCCCCCACACCCAAATCTCTTTAATAAATCTTTTAGAGAAAATGTAAAATTTTGATTATTAACCTTAAGTGGACACAATAGTGATTAACATTTGAGATGAATACAGATATTAAGAGTAAGTATATATTGATTATACTGATTATAAAGTTTTACCTATGTTCATGATATTAAGCAAATGCATGCATAGTTTTTACATATGTATTTAAGATGGGGTGGGATAGATAAAGGAGATAAGGTGTTTTTTAACTGTAGTTTTAAAAATGCTAGATGAGCCAGTGGTTCTGGAGATTTCTGGCAGAGTTTTCCAGATTTTGGGCCCTTTTATGTACAGTGAGTTTTTGAAAAGATTTAGCCTGACATGGGGAATGTCACAGAGGTTTTTGTGCCTAGTATCGAGTCCTATTGCAACTGCCAAGCAAGCGTTTCAGGCCGAGATTTATAATAGGATTGATTGTTCTGTAAATGTAGGCTGCACAACAGTATGAGTGAATGTTTTGTATAGTCAGTTGGTTTAGGTCTTTGAAGAGTGGGGGTGTGTTTTGTCTAGCATTGGATTGTGAGATCATTCACACTTTTTGTTGGGTTATTATTTGTTTTAGGTGATTTGTTGTTGTGGAACCCCCAGGTACATATAGCATAGGTGACGTAGGGGTAGATCAGTGAATAGTATAGTATAAGTAGTGCCGTTTGTGGCACATAGGTAATTATCTTTGAATGGATGCCAACTGTTTTAGATACTTGTGTTGTTGTGTGTTGGATATGGGTATTGAATTTCAGGTTGCTATCAAGGTGCAGACCCACGAATTTTCCCTCATTGTGTTTAGCAATAAGGATGTTGTTAAGCATAATGTTTAGTTGGACCTCACTTGCTCCACTCCCAAACATAATGTAAAAGGCTTTATCTATATTAAGTGTAAGTTTACTGACAGTCAACCAGGTTGCTATTCTGAGAGTTCTTCGATAACATAGTGTTAAGTGAGGCTAGATTGGGTAGGAGATGACAAAAGTCATGTCGTCAGCAAAGAGAATAGGCATAAGTTGTTGTGATACACTTGGAAGATCATTGTTGAGGAGGCTGCATACCATGTGAAACCTCAAAGTGAGGGGAAAACCTGTACATCAAAACTAACAAACAGTTTGTGCATAAAACTAGTGTACTACTTGTACTACAGTGGTCCCTCGCTTTTCGTAGTTCTCGGCAATCGTAAATTTCGCCAATCATAGGGGTATTTTCGTATAAACATGGACTCGCTTTTCATAGGTTGACTCGCGAATAGTAGTTCGTCCGGGATGCGTACGCACGGTGTGAGCCGGGGCGGCCTCCCTACCCAGCCAGTCTGGCATTGTTTACCAGTGAGTGAAGGTCCCCTCAAGTGCTCCTACGAAATGTTTCATAATATTCCACTCATTTTAGTGCTTGCAATTGCTAAATAAGCTACCATGGCTCCAAAGAAAGCTCCTAGTGCCAAGCCTGTGGTAAAGAAGGTGAGAAATATGTACAGTGACAAAGTCTTGGGCCATTTTCGGGAAGTGTTAAAGAGACGCCAGAAACAGAGCTCTCTCCACAGTTACTTTGCGAGACAGGACTAGAGTGACTCTCAAGGTGGTCCTAGTGGCATTAAGAAACAGAGAAGAGAAGCAACCCCAGAGAAGCAATTGGTACCTGAGGTGTTGCTGGAAGGGGATTCCCCTTCCAAACTGTAAACAATCCAATCTCTCTCCTCTTCCAGTCTCCCATACACTAAGAAGATTCTCTAATAAAGGTAAGTGTTATGCTGTTAATGTTTCATTCATTATTTCCCATTGTATTGTTTATGTACTATATGTATATTTCATGTAAAAAAATTTTTTGTTTTAATACTTCTGGGTGTCAGGAATGGATTAATTGTATTTACATTATTTCGTATGGGGAAAATTGATTCGCAAATCGTAAATTTCGTTTATAGTAACGGCTCCAGGAACGGATTAATTACGAAAAACGAGGGACCACTGTACTTACATCACCTGTGCATAAAACTAGTGAACTACTTAGATCACCTGTGTACTACTTACATCACCTGTCGAGTCCCCAAGCTAGAGGCAGGGTAAAGCATGATGCTAGGGTAGCTGGAAATTCCTTGAGTTCTACAAATACTGCCAAATTCTGCACAGTCAATAGTTGCCACATGAATATTAGGAAGGTGCGCCATCATGCGGGCAAACTTCCTGTACTCGGGAGCCATGTCTCTGCAGTGACCGCACCAGTTAGCAAAGTAATCCACCACCCAAGTTTCACCTCTTGGCTTGTTACTTATAAGTTTCTCAAATTTGACATCATCAAGCTTCACAACTGTAACAAAACAACACAACTAAATCAGGTGATAAACAATGAAAACTTAAATATGGAAATTTCTGCAAGATTATAAAGTAGTCTTTAGGAACAGAATTAAGAATCTGTAGGAATTAAATCTATGACTATACTGAAAGTCTCTTAAGAAAAATTACACAATATTACGGCATTTTTCTTCATCAAAAGTCAAAAGTTGTACTTGCCATTCCTATTGTCACAGTCATATAGTGTAACCAAGTACACATGCCACAAAATAGTTACCATCCTACAACAATTAAAAGAAATGGAACAATAAGTTCAAGCATAAGTACTACTGGAGCACAAAGTGAAGACTAAATATGAGTTAATAAGTGTACTTGAAGATGAATCAAGGAAAGGTTTGTAACTCCCCCAAGATCTCACCCTGTATAAACATGTAGCAAGCAGCCTCACCTAATACCACTACCATCACCTGCCACATATCCTTACCATGGTACACATGGCAGCTGCTGCTTGTTGATATGACAGTGTGTGCAAAAAACTGATCTGTCCTAATCCCTGTACCTACATATGGTAGACAGCACCAGTTACTACCTTCATCAACTGCCAACACTGGTAAAAACAAGCCACATTTCCTCAGTAAATTGCATTAATATATAGGAACTTGCCAGACTAAAGTTGAATGCATTTGGGAAAGTAAAAACCAAGAAAAATACAAAAGTGTTGAAAATAAGGCAGAGTAATTTTATTGGTTCATCCTAGGGAAAATCTACATAATGTGTGTTTTAAGTGGTCCTCAAGACCAATGTAAAAAATTGGAAAGAATCCGAAGGTGCATCAAGTCCTACTTCCCGACTTCCAGATTAAGGTGTTCCAAGTCATGAGAAGACAGTAAAAAGTGTGGTAATTCTTAAAGGAAATGGAACAGGAGTCCAGAGGGCCTTGGTCAGAGATATTGCAGACAAGGAGTGAGAGGCACCACTAAAACTTGCCAACTTGTCCCAGAGTCTTGAGGAAGCCTTAGGTGAAAGACAGTCTCATAATGGACAGGGAGATCATGATCATTCCCATCTAGGATAAGAGGTAGTGGCAGGTGACTTGTGCTCCATCGATGAGGGGTTGAGTAGAATGGAACTGGGAACAAAAAAGGAAAATGTTCTACCATGTCCAGCAGGTTAAAACACCAGCTACAAGTGGGAGAGGCAACCATCTGGAGATGATGGATGTGAGCCCCAGGTCTGCAGTAGCCTATATAAAGGTGCATAAGGACTACACTGAGTGCCTGCCACACCCAAGGACAGGGACCAGATGGAGAACAATGCCTAGGAATAAAGAGGAATGAACAGGCTACCCAGCCACTGGTGACTGATCTCCCTCCACACTCAAGACACAAACTCTTCCCTAGTCAATAGGTAGAGTGATGCACACAAGGAGGGACCCAAAGGAGACTGATATATTAACCTAGAGTGTCAAGAAGCTACTTTCTGCAGATTGAAAGGTGAAGAAATGTGGGACTAGGAGAGGATAGTGGGTCCAGAGAAGATCGAGTCTGTACAGACTATGCAAAGGAAGATGGGATAGAACAAAGTGAAAGGTCTGGTCATATGGAAAAAATAAAAAACTATGGTGCTTGTGCCTGGGGATCTACTAAAAAAAATTGCCTAAAATAATTAATAACTCAACAAAAAGTCACTGTGCTCATGTCACAACCATTTTCAGAGTTCCCTGATTTCTGGAGTCTTAATAAGAATATTGGAAACAATTTCTTCAATTGAGCAAGAAAGCTAAAGACCAACCATAGTTACCTTAGGCAGGACCTTGACTGCTTCAGAGTCCACAAAATCAGCATCAGCAGGAAGATATGGAAACCTCAGTCTTCTGCTTGACCTCAGAAGTTTTTAAACGAAGCACCAAATAACGATTTTTTTTTTCCTCTACCTTTTTCTTATTGGAATGGAGCCTAACGAGTCCTGAGTTAAATCTGTTACATTGTTATGTGATGTCAGTGGTTTAGAAAACCAACAAGTTGAAAAATGAGATACTTGTGCAACATTTGGGAATCTTTATTGAGGAAACATTTCACCAGCCAGTGGCCTCTTCAGTCAAATATGGAGAAGAATGGTGGAAGATGTAGGTAGTAGGTTGGTAGACAGCAACCGCCCAGGGAGGTACTACCGTCCTGCCAAGTGAGTGTAAAACGAAAGCCTGTAATTGTTTTACATGATGGTAGGATTGCTGGTGTCTTTTGTCTGTCTCATAAATATGCAAGATTACAGGTAAGTCTTGCTACTTCTACTTACACTTAGGTCACACTACACATACATGTACAAGCATATATATACACACCCCTCTGGGTTTTCTTCTATTTTCTTTCTAATTCTTGTTCTTGTTTATTTCCTCTTATCTCCATGGGGAAGTGGAACAGAATTCTTCCTCTGTAAGCCATGCGTGTCGTAAGAGGCGACTTAAATGCCGGGAGCAAGGGGCTAGTAACCCCTTCTCCTGTATATATTACTAAATTTAAAAGGAGAAACTTCAGTTTTTTCTTTTGGGCCACCCCACCTCAGTGGGATACGGCTGGTACGTTGAAAGAAGAAGAAGAATGGTGGAAGATGGGGAGGAGTTTGAATGGCAGCATTGTCCACTGGGTCTTGCCTTAATGATCAGGATCTGCTGATCTTGAACCACAGTGTTCACTCCATATCCATTAATCCTGGTGTCAGACACCTAGCAAATGAGCATCTCCTTCCCTGATTTTGTTTCTTCAGTGCCCTACCTAACAAACGAAAGACTAGGGAGAAATAAGAGGGCCCCACAATTCACCTGAGGAAGGGTTGTTGAGGTGGCTTGGACATGTACTGAGGATGGGGCACAATAATATGACCAAGAGGAATTGTAAATTTGGGGTAGAAGGGAGGTTGGAGGGGATAAAAAGAGGTTCTGAGTGCTAAGAGCTTGAATATCCAACAGCCTTGTGTAAGCATGTTAGACGGAAGTGATTGGAGACAAGTGGTGTTTGTAACTTTACAACTTGATGTGTTGTTAGAGTGTGAACGAGGTAACATTAATGAAACACCTCAAAATTGATTAGCCAAACTTCAGTCCTTGGGGTGAGAAGTACAGTGCCTGTACTCTGAAGGAGAAGAGTGACATCATAATTCAGAGGGTCAGGTGAACTGTGATGTCAGCACACTTCTGGCAAGACAGGAATTGAATGAATGATGGTGAATATGTTGCCTCTCTCTCTGGGTCCCCTACCTCCTTGGAGACAGCTGGGTGTGAAAGGAGAAAAGAAAACTATTTAACCTTAATTCTTATTGATGTTTATTGATATGGAAGTGTGTGAGTGTTGACATGACCATGTACAATACAGTTCCTTTCAAAATTTTGCCAAATATCTAGGCACTTTCTACATCAATACCCGACATGATCCACCACATGACACACCGAGTGCTGCATGACCTGCTGAATGCTGCATAACCTGAGTGCTGCATGACCCACTAAGTGCTGCATGCTCTACTGAGTGGTTCATTAAACCTAGTACTGAACTCAGGAGCAGCAGGTGTGAACTTTTGAGCACACATAAATGAGAAGTATATGGGTGCATGAATAGCAAACACATGAATGTTTGTAGTGACAGCCACCCTGGTGCAGGATACCCCAGCCAGTGACACCCAAGGTTACAACAAACACTAACTATCCCATCCCAATTGGGGTGGGATGGTTACAAGTCATCACAAGCAGGTAAATTACAATATACTGTCCAATTAAGACCTACACTTACTAGAAGAATGTTAGGATGAAGTTCTGGTCCATCTGGACATTTGTCAAATCCCACCTGGTCCATGACAAACAGAAACGTCATCCTAACTTTCCTCTCCTAAGTATACTTTTTTTTTAATTGTTGCAGTCACGGTTTTGTAACTTTTTATTCTTTACAATATACTGACCTGCAGGATTTAGAGTGTCTTTGACAAATTCAACAATTTGTGCAGCAGTGTGATAGCCCAAGTACTCATGAGGTACACTCTGGTTGTAGAGTATAGTGGTGGGATACTGGTGAATGTTGAACCTGGAACACAGCTCATGATGCAGTGTGCAGTCAATGCTCCCTGCAAACATATACAATAGTCAGAAATTATGTATCATAATTATTGTTATCCTAGGTAGTAGGCTGGTAGACAGCAACCACCCAGGGAGGTACTGTCTTGCTAGGTGAGTGTAAAACGGAAGCCTGCAATTGTTTTACATGATGGTAGGATTGCTGGTGTCTTTTTTCTGTTTCATAAACATGCAAGATTTCAGGTACATCTTACTACTTCTGCTTACCCTTAGGTAACAGTACACATGCATGTACAAGCATATATATACACACCCCTTTGAGTTTTCTTTTACTTTCTTACTAGTTCTTGTTCTTGTTTATTTCCTCTTATCTCCATGGGGAAGTGGAACAGAATTCTTCCTCTGTAAGCCATGTGTGCTGTAGAAGGTGACAGGAGCAAGGGGCTAATAACCCCTTCTGTATATATTCCTAAATTTAAAAGGAGAAACTTTCGTTTTTTTTTTTCTTTTGGGCCACTCTGCCACGGTGGGATAAGGTTCGTTTGTTGAAAGCAGAAGAATTATTGTTATAAATTCACAGTGAACTGGTAAATAGACAAGAGCCTTACAGGACTTGAGGAATGGGAAGGAATGAGGGGCAGAGGTGGAGGTAATCAGGGTTAAATGCAAATACAAACTTTATTTCTATAAAGCAGAATACAGTTTATTATACAATTTGAGTGAGCTGATGTTTCCATTATAATTTTATCTTGTGTAGCTTGCTCAAAAATATTTACATCTCTAACCCCTTCTCCTGTATACATTACTAAAGTTGGAAAGAGAAACTTTCATTTTTCTATCTGGGCATCTCTGCTTTGGTGGGATATGGCTGGTTTGTTGAAAGAAGGTGATTTACATCTCTACATTTATCGCTAGTATTTGCTTCAAAAAACACTGGACATGTAAAGTAACAAACTTGTTTATAGAATGCAGCAACCTATTTAAAAAAAAAGAGGTAAAAATTGATAGAATTTATAATGCATTTTAATTTCATTCTTACAATCTTTGAAAACAATACTTTATATGACAGCACTCATCAACACATCATCCTTACCAAAATTAATAGGCGTGTGTACAAGCTTGCTTGCTTTCCGAAACTCTGGCAGCAGTTTCATACATGGTGGACACCATGGAGCATAGAAGTCCACAAACCAATTTGTGCCATCGCTAAGCACTTTAGGAAATTTCTGAGGAGTTAATATTTGGAAACGTGGAGCTGAAGCGCCTTCTCTCGCAAACACTGCTATGTCGTGTGCTAGTAAGCGACCCTGCAAGTTAAAAGTAAAAAGTACAATTTTATATGGAAGGTATACATAATAAACATTGCAGGAATAAAGAAAATCAAACCACTTTTTGATTGCTAAATGCTAAAAAAAAAAAGTGCAAAATTACAAGGGAAAATTCCATAATTCCATAATGGAGTTATGAAAATATGAGTGAGCCTCGCTTTAAGATGTTTTCGCTTTAGAGCACTTCGCTACTACGGTGATTTTCCATTATATTCATGTTTATTATTATCAGTGCTTGCCTTGCTCTCAACTCTTTGAGGGATCTAGACCCTCGATATAAAAAGTGTCCACAGGGTCCAAGAATTTAAAAAAAAAAAAAAAATTATTTTATGTAATGGTAGAAAAAAAATTCTGAAGGTAATGAAAGCAAAAGTACAAAATTTGATGGAAAATTGACGAAATTATGCTTTTGCAAATTTTGCTGTATCAGCGAAATTTACACACTGGCGATTTTGCTCACCCTGAGTCCTATTTTAGGCCAATTACAGTGTTCCAGTATGACATCCATTTTATCAATTGAGCACAAGAAACCGCCCGATCAACTATTTCAACTACCCAATAAGTGATCAGAAATTGGTAATTTAGGCAATTACACAAAATTTAAAAATATGGTCCAGAATAAACAATGCAGGCATTCCTGGCATTAAAATAACATTTCCTCTGTTCATGAGTTATGTTCCCAGGCTTTACATATGAATTCCACTTTGAATTTTTATTCACACAGAATTTTTATTTACAAAAAAAAAAAATTGATTTATTGTTGTGCATTATTGTAAGAATTGTATAAATAATGTCAGCGCATTCATGAACGCATATTAGACAGACCAGTTGGACGCGTATTGGATGAGTTACATGATTTGTTTACTCTAGAATATTGGCAACAATTGAATATTTCTGCTAGTTTAAGGTCAATTTTAAACTATTTTCAGTCCTCAAACCAATCAAAATCATCTCTACTTCTGTAATATATCTTCCGTTCTATCAAATGAGACCAAGAAACCACAAATACAATCGTAAAAAACATATGAATACATACCACAAAGTCAATGTTTTCATCCAAAAACACTGTCACAGTTTTTTTTTCTCATTATGCACTGCGTGCTGCAGGATTTGTTTTATATGGTGCACACTTACCACATAGATGCATTCTCTCATATCTAGGCCCAAATTTACCACTCACAGCTCATCTGAGTGAGCTGAGCTCATGGCATAGAACTACGGCTTGGACTCTTGCTTCAAAGCCGTAGAACTACGGGACGGACCCTCAAAGGGTTAAGTAAATTAAATTTTGGATGAGCAGGGAAAGGGTGTGAAATGGGTGATGGTCTGCACAGCAGGTTTTTTATTTATTATTGGTTTTAGGTTAACTGATGTAGTAAATCCTCAGGCACAAATACAATAGGTGAGGTAAGGATAGATTAGGGAGTGGTATAATACAAGTAGTGCTGTTTTAGGTACACAGTAATATTCTTTGAAAGGATCCCTACTACTTTGGAGACCTTTATTATGTGCTGGATGTGCATATTAAACTTCAAGTTGCAGCCCTAAATTTTCACTAAGCTTAAAAATAAACACTACCTAGAGTTTTATACTGGAAACTAAGAGCTAAAGTCAGATTACGAGTGATTTTCACAGGCCTTCTACACGCTGTTTACAGCAAGTATACATGCAAAATGCTAACACCCAGGTACTTATTTACTGCTAGAAGAACAAGTCCAAAGGAAGAAGATATGCCTATACATCTCAACTTGCCCAGGACTGAATCTGGGTTCTTTGGCTATGGGTCAAAGACACTACTAACCATCTTCTAAACAGACTGATTCATATGACTTAAAAGACTCTAAAATCCATGGCTTATTTAGCACGTTAATGTAACAAATTGCTGTCATCATTGCCAATATACAGGTCTCCCTCAACATTCACGTTTTCAGCTTTCGCGGGCTTCACACATTCGCGAATTCCCAACTGCCAAATTCCCAGCCACCAAATTCCCAGCCGCCAAATCATATTCAAGTTTCCAGCCACCTGCGAGTCCCTACTACCCTCCCTCCGACCCCCACAACTGGCAGCCAGCCCTCCCACCACTCAGTGTGGTGAGTGTTTTGTTTGTTCATTATTTGCTATTAAACTACAGTATAAATAATGTAAACACATTCATGACTGCATATTGGAATGGCTATTTGAACAGGTATTGGACGGTGACATCATGTGTTTACTCTTGAACACAGCAAAGAATTAAACATTTCCGCTACTGCTAATAATAATAACAATAATAACAACAATAATAATAATAATAATAATAATAATAATACGATATAATTGAAGAAGGAAATTGTACAAAAATACGAGGGAGTGGTTGACACATCGTCAGTGTGACTTTGTTTATGCTGGAGTGAGCATTAGTCTCCCTGCTCTTCCAAACATTTCACAATAATTCATTGTTTGGTGCTTGTAGATTGAGTGTGACTGGAGTGGTTGAGGCAGTGATAGAGGCAGTGGTAGAGGCAGTGATAGAGGCAGTGATAGAGGCAGTGGTAGAGGCAGTGATAGAGGCAGATAGAGGCAGTGGTAGAGGCAGTGATAGAGGCAGTGACAGAGGCAGTGGTAGAGGCAGTGGTAGAGGCAGTGATAGAGGCAGTGGTAGAGGCAGTGATAGAGGCAGTGGTAGAGGCAGATAGAGGCAGTGGTAGAGGCAGTGATAGAGGCAGTGGTAGAGGCAGTGATAGAGGCAGTGATAGAGGCAGTGGTAGAGGCAGTGGTAGAGACAGTGGTAGAGGCAGTGATAGAGGCAGTGGTAGAGACAGTGGTAGAGGCAGTGATAGAGGCAGTGGTAGAGACAGTGGTAGAGGCAGTGATAGAGGCAGTGGTAGAGACAGTGGTAGAGGCAGTGATAGAGGCAGTGATATTTACTAACATATATGTTATAAATAATAATAGTACATTATGAATAACATTTATTATTATTATTATTATAAATGTTATTAATATTAACATGTACTATTATTATTTATAACATACATATATGTTAGTAAATACCACTGCCTCACCCACTGCCTCTATCACTGTCTCTATCACTGTCTCTATCACTGTCTCTATCACTGCCTCTATCACTGCCTCTACCACTGCCTCAACCGCTGAATTATTGTGAAATGTTTGGAAGAGCAGGGAGACTAATGTTCACTCCAGCATAAACAAAGCCACACTGACGATGTGTCAACCACTCCCTCGTATTTTTGTACAATTTCCTTCTTCAATTATATCATATTATTATTATTATTATTATTATTATTATTATTATTATTATTATTATTACTATTGTTATTATTAGCAGTAGCAGAAATGTTTGATTCTTTGCTGTGTTCAAGAGTAAACACATGATGTCACCGTCCAATACCTGTTCAAATAGCCATACCAATATGCAGTCATGAATGTGTTTACATTATTTATACTGTAGTTCAATAGCAAATAATGAACAAACAAAACACTCACCACACTGAGTGGTGGGAGGGCTGGCTGCCAGTTGCGGGGGTCGGAGGGAGGGTAGTAGGGACTCACAGTGGTGGAGGCAGTGGTGGAGTCTGTGGTATTTAATAACATACATGTCATTAACATACATGTTATTAAATAACATACGTTATTAAAGCATAACATGTATATATTTAGTACAACTTATGATATTTTCATGTATTTTATGATTGTTCTTGGTTCAACAAGTTAAGCAGTATTGTATTATATTTCCCTACAATATATTGGGGCACCAAACATTCACGGTTTTTCAACATTCGCGAGGCTCTTGATCCCCTAACCCTCGCGAATGTTGAGGGACACCTGTACTATCTTTCTTCTTTCAATGCACTGGCTACTATTATAATATACTAGCTACTACTGTAGCTAATTTTCAGACAAATTACAAAAATCATTACAATTCAAATGTAACAGGCACTATGATAAATGAAATGTTTTAAAGTATCTGTACTAATACTGCCATATGAAAAGCGGCAACATAAATCTTTGAACATTTACATACAATGTAAACATCCAGTTTAACGAAAATCATAAATCTTAACATATGTCAAACTGTTGTATAGAAATGAGGAACTTATCCTTCAACAACTAATGCTAAATTATTCGATAATTATGATAACGATGTCTACACACTACAAATAAAAGACAAAACCTCATGAGAGTATAGGAAGTCTATCTTAAAAGGGATTATTAAAGAACTTAAAATTATATTTGTATAGTTTCCTTGCTGTCAAGGAGACAAAAGTGATGTGGTGTACCTGCCCACAGCTTAATGACATCCTCAGAGCCAAGGATTTTATTGTTCCCCAGCCCATGATTCTAACCTAGGACCTTCCATCACCTGGGATATGACTGAAATGACCACTGATATCTGTTATTAATTCTGATGCTCACTACTCCCCAAAGCCTCTAAAATTATAAAGGAAATATTGCAGGACTAAGTTGTTAAGAAACACACAGAAAAGTAAATATTGAGTAAAGCTGAAGTGGCATTGTGCATTTTCACAGGGCACAAAAAAGCAGTAATCCAGCCAGAGTGTAAACAAAAAACAGGTTTCCATTTCACACTCACATGACAGGACAGCAGCACCTCTCTGCATGGTTGCTGTCTACCAACTAACTACTGTTGCACTACAATCCTGAAATTAGTCCCATTATTAGCTAATTTCACTCCAGCAGCCTAGTTTAAGCACAATAAAATAATGCACTGGTTCGAATGGACTTACATGATGTAATTCATATCCTCCACCAGGTTTGAACAAGATGAATGACGGTGTTTTAGCAATGTAAAGCTCATCACACTGCTTCTTCATCTGAGAACATTCAATTCTTCCAAGATTAAGAGATGGAAGTAAAGCCGGCAACTTGCGAATCTGTTGAGGAAAACAAATTATGAAATTCCTCACAAATTTGCAATTTAACCATTTAAAATATAATATACAAGAGAAGTTCTGTTAGAGAAAGGTAAACTCAGAAAAATCTACATAATCTGTTATCTAATATTATGCCAAATAAAAAAAATGGAGAGTAGTCTTCAAGTATTCATGCAAAAAGGGAGTACATTATATGCAAATAAAATAATTTGGGATAGTAGTTCAATTATAAATGAGTAAAACATTGATTTTTCTAGTATTATAGGTAACATCCTCACAAAGGTTCAGGGAAAGGTTTGAAGGTTCAGGGGAAGGTTAGAAGGTTCAGGGGAAGGTTAGAAGGTTTGAAGGTTCAGGGGAAGGTTTGAAGGTTCAGAGGAAGGTTTGAAGGTTCAGGAGAAGGTCTGAAGGTTCAGGAGAAGGTCTGAAGGTTCAGGGGAAGGTCTGAAGGTTCAGGGGAAGGTCTGAAGGTTCAGGGGAAGGTCTGAAGGTTCAGGGGAAGATCTGAAGGTTCAGGGGAAGGTTTGAAGGTTCAGGGGAAGGTTTGAAGGTTCATGGGAAGGTTTGAAGGTTCAGGGGAAGGTTTGAAGGTTCAGGGGAAGGTCTGAAGGTTCAGGGGAAGGTCTGAAGGCTCAGGGGAAGGTTTGAAGGCTCAGGGGAAGGTCTGAAGGTTCAGGGGAAGGTTTGAAGGTTCAGGGGAAGGCTTGAAGGTTCAGGGGAAGGTTTGAAGGTTCAGGGGAAGGTTTGAAGGTTCAGGGGAAGGTTTGAAGGTTCAGGGGAAGGTTTGAAGGTTCAGGGGAAGGCTTGAAGGTTCAGAGGAAGGCTTGAAGGTTCAGAGGAAGGTCTGAAGGTTCAGGGGAAGGTTTGAAGGTTCAGGGGAAGGTCTGAAGGCTCAAAATTTTAAATTTAAGATTATGGTTGGTACAGTATTTGGATACAGTGGATAAAAAAATTACTGAAATTCAGACTGAGGAGGACTTACACTATGTACAACATTCACTGAAGTTTCTTGTGCATTTTAGAAATGCACATCTTATTTAAAAGTTTCCCTAACAAATTGGCAAAAAATCTTATGTAATAATTTGCTAGAGGGTGATAAAATGTACATTATTTTTATTATTTTTTATTATCACACTGGCCGATTCCCACCAAGGCAGGGTGGCCTTTTTCGGGCCACCCTGCCTTGGTGGGAATCGGCCAGTGTGATAATAAAAAAATAATAAAAATAATGTACATTTTATCACCCTCTAGCAAATTATTACATAAGATTTTTTGCCAATTTGTTAGGGAAACTTTTAAGTGGTTGACTATTTTTTCTAACTCCAAACTTTCCTTAACTTGAAAGTTCTTTATCTGATCAGATTCAAACTTTCATCACTCATTTACTGTACTGTGGGAAGAGACCATACATTTACTGACATGTGCAGGCGCTCTACAATCAATGTTATACAGCCAATTCTAGATACACCTACCATCTGACTTACGACCTGCTCGACATACAATGACTCAACTTACGACTGTGTTTTTTATGCCAAATTTCTGGGAAATAAACAAGTGTTTGTGTTGTACACAGTGTTTATCCTAAACCTTACAATATAAAATACAGTACTAACAGCATAAAAAGTAAAGTAAAACATGAAATACCAAAATAAAACAATAAAATAAAGTCATTACAAAAATGTTATGTTGATATTCAGTAGTAAAGTTCGACTTATGTCCATTTCGACTTATGACTGGTTTCTCGGAACCGAACTCGGTCATAAGTTGGATGGTAGGTGTATTTCATTCCTATACCATAACTAAAAAAGTCCATTCTAATCGTCTTTAAATATTCAAAAAAAGGTGTATATGCTAATTAGAAGATGATTGGGATCATTTTTGGAGTGCGTAGGCATCGTTTTACCAATTTTACATAGGAAACAGTGTGAAAATTTATTCCTATTAAATAAAGTTAAAAATCTTCAAGTCTTCCTCTTCTACAATGTTTCAATATTTAATGGCTGGTGCAACTTATGGACAGGATAATACCCAATAAATTTAGTTAGTGTGGGTACAAATTTTTCAATATAAAAATTAAAAAGCTTGAACCAATGGAATCAATATTATAATGAAAGAATGCTGCTTCTGATAGGCTTCAAACTTTTAGTGAAAGTATGCTATCCTGAATGCACATTACACTTTGTTTTTTGGGTTGCTTAAGTAACAAAATGCCAATTTTATAAAATAAATTAAGATATTGATTACTATCTAATAAATAAACAATGCCTATCCTAATCACCTTCAAAACATCAATGCTGATGCAGTTCAGAAAGTGGATTATAATCTGTATATTTAACCCTCTGAGGGCCCGTCCCATAGATCTACGGCTTTACGTTCAGGGTCCAAACCGTAGGTCTACGTCATGAGCTCAGCTCACTCTGATAAACTGTGAGTGGTACATTTGGGCCTAGATATGACAGAATACATCTATGTGGTATGTGTGCACCACATAAAACAGATCCTGCAGCACGCTGTGTATAATGAGAGAAAAAAACTGAAATCATGATTTTTTCGTATGTTTTTTATAGTTCTATTTGCAATTTCTTGGTCTCATTTGATAGAATGGAAGACATATTACAGAAATAGAGATGATTTTGATTGGTTTTAGCACTGGAAATGGCTTGAAACTGAGCTCAAAGTAGCAGAAATGTTAAATTTTTGCCGATATTCAAGAGTAAACAAACGACCTCACACGTCTAATACACGCCAGCTGGTGGGTCTAATATGCATTCACAAATATGGTGATGATATTTATACAATTATTACAGTATTGCATAACAGTAACTCTTCTATTTTTTGGTGTGAATAAAAACTCATTATGTGAATAAAAAATCAAAATGGAATTTATTTGTAAAGCCTCAAAACATAACTAATGAACAGAGGAAATGTTAGTTTAGTTCCAGGAATACCTACATTTTTTATTCTGGACCCTATTTTGAAATTGGAATATTTTGAACTTTGTGTTAAATTGACCAAATTAACAATTTCAGATCACTTTAATTTGTAGTTGAAACAGTTGACTTGGCGATTTCTTGTGCTCAATCGATAGAATAGAAGTAATACTAGTGAAATAGCTAAGAATTTGGTTGACTGGAATAATGTAATTGGCCTAAAATGGGAGTCAAAGTCGGCAAAATCGCCGATTCGTAAATATCGCTGACACATCATAATTCGCGAGAGCATAATTTCGTCAATTTTCCATCAAATTTCGTACTTTTTGTTTTATTACCCTCACAAAAAGATTCTCTACCATTTCATAAGAAAAAATAACAAATTTTTTTTTTTTAAATTCTTGGACACTGGGGCACCACTTCAGATTTGGGCCTTGGACCCTGAAGGGGTTAAACTGTGTAGGTATAAATTTGCAAATATTAAAAAAACAGTTACTGAAAATATGGAAAACAAATTTAAGTGGAGAATGCTTCATCTGGTTAACATTAGCTTGTGGAAGAAGCACATTTAGCATTTCATTGGGCTATGTAGCCTCTAATTCACAAATAACCCGCACATAAAAGAGAGAAGTTTACGACGACGTTTCAGTCCGACTTGGACCATTGACAAAATCAATGTATTGTGCCTTTTGTTATTTATTTTTAGCCTCTAATTACCTTTGTTTTTAACACACTAGGTGTCTCCAGCGGAGAGAGGGTGACCCGAAGAAGAAACACTTTCACCATCATTCCCACTATCACTGTTTTGTCAAAGGTATGTAAATATGAAGAAGAAACACTTTCACCATCATTCCCACTATCACTATTTTGTCAAAGGTATGTAAATATGACAGTTCAGATGTCCCTCCAAACAGCAAATATATCTACCCCTTCTTTAGAGTGCAGGCACTGTACTTCCCACCCCCAGGACTCAAAGTCTGGCTAACTGGTTTCCTTGAATCCCTTCACAAAATGTTACCTTGCACACACTCCAACAGCTTGTCAGGTCCAAAAAACCATCAGCCTCCACTCCTATCTAATATGCTCAAACATGTCTGCCGAACATCCAAGCCCTTTGCACACAAAACTTTTACTCACTCCCTCCATCCTTTCCTAGGATGACCCTTGCCCTGCCTTCCCTCCACTATATATTTATACACTCTTCAATCTATTTTGTTCCATTCTCTCTAAATGTCCAAACCACCTCAACAACCCCTCCTCAGCCCTCAAGATAATACTTTAACCCTTTCAGGGTCCAAGGCCCAAATCTGGAGTCACGCACCAGTGTCCAAGAATTTTCAAAAAAAAAATTTGTTATTTTTTCTTATGAAATCGTAGAGAATCTTTTTGTGAAGGTAATAAAACAAAAAGTACGAAATTTGGTGGAAAATTGACGAAATTATGCTCTCGCGAATTTTGATGTGTCAGCGATATTTACGAATCGGCGATTTTGCCGACTTTGACTCCCATTTTAGGCCAATTACATTATTCCAATCAACCAAATTCTTAGCTATTTCACTAGTATTACTTCTATTCTATCGATTGAGCACAAGAAATCGCCAAGTCAACTGTTTCAACTACAAAATAAAGTGATCGGAAATTGTTAATTTGGCCAATTTAACACAAAGTTCAAAATATTCCAATTTCAAAATAGGGTCCAGAATGAACAATGTAGGCATTCCTGGCACTAAACTAACATTTCCTCTGTTCATTAGTTATGTTTTGAGGCTTTACAAATAAATTCCATTTTGATTTTTTATTCACATAATGAATTTTTATTCACACCAAAAAATAGAAGATTTACTCTTATGCAATACTGTAATAATTGTATAAATATCATCACCATATTTGTGAATGTATATTAGACCCACCAGCTGATGTGTATTAGATGTGTGAGGTTGTTTGTTTACTCTTGAATATCGGCAAAAATTTAACATTTCTGTGCCCCTCAAGGAAGGTTCCTTGATGTTGGTGAGGGGCTCTTGATTTAGGGAATTGGATCTGTGCTCCAGTTCCCCGAATTAAGCCTGAATGCCTTCCACATCCCCCCCCCCCCAGGCGCTGTATAATCCTCCGGGTTTAGCGCTTCCCCCTTGATTATAATAATAATAATTAACATTTCTGCTACTTTGAGCTCAGTTTCAAGCCATTTCCAATGCTAAAACCAATCAAAATCATCTCTATTTCTGTAATATGTCTTCCATTCTATCAAATGAGACCAAGAAATCGCAAATACAACTATAAAAAACATACGAAAAAACACTGCAAAGTTGCTGTTTTAATCGAAAAATCATGATTTCATTTTTTTTCTCTCATTATACACAGTGTGCTGCAGGATCTGTTTTATGTGGTGCACACATACCACATAGATGTATTCTCTCATATCTAGGCCCAAATGTACCACTCACAGTTTATCAGAGTGAGCTGAGCTCATGGCGTAGATCTACGGTTTGGACCCTGAACGTAAAGCCGTAGATCTACGGGACGGACCCTGAAAGGGTTAAGTAACTCTGCATCTCCTCCTAATCTCCAAGCTACAAATTCTCTGCATAATATTTACACCACACGTTCCCCTCAGACACATCTCCACTGCCTCCAATCTCCTCCTCAGTGCAACAGCCACAACCCATGTTTCACACCCTTATAAGAGTGCTGGTACCACTATATTCTCATACATTCCTCTTGTTGCTTCCATGAATAACATTCTTTTTCTCAACAGATGCCTCAATGCAGCACCCACCTTTTTCCCCCTCATCAATTCTACGGTTCTCTTCGTCTTTCATATACCTATGCACTGACAAGTCCACTCCCAAATATATGAACACATTCACTTCCTCCATGCTCCCTTCTTCCAACCTGATATCAAGCCTTTCATTACCTAACTCCTTTATTATCTTCATCACCTCTCTCTCTTTATTATGTTCACTTTTATTTCCTTCTTTTACACACTCTCCCAAATTTGTCCACAAACCTTTGCAACTTCTTTTCACAATCTACCAAAGGCAGTGTCATCAGCAAAAAGCAACTGTGACAACTCCCATTTTGTATTAGATATTGCACATTTTAATCACACACCTCTCTCCAACATCCTAGTATTCACTACTTTAACAACCCCATCTGTAAATATGCTTAATCCTTTGAGTGTTGAGACCCCTTCTCGCAAACTTACTCATAGTGTCAAAGAATTAAAAACAAAAAAAATCTTATGAAATGATAGAGAATCTTTTTTCGAAGGTAATGAAATCAAAAGTTCAAAATTTGATGGAAGACTTACAAAATTACACTCTTGCAAAGTTAGCGGTCTCAGCGATATTTACGCACTGGAGGTTTCACCCACATTGAGCCCTATTTTGGGGCAATTCCTGTGTTCCACTCATCCAAACTCATAGCTATTTTGCTAAAACTCCTTTTATTCTATTGACTGAGTACAAGAAACTGCCCACTTACCTACTTCAACTACACAAAACAGTGATCAGAAATTACTAATTTGGCCAATTTCACACAAAATTCAAGAAAGGCCAATTTAAAAATAGGGGCCAGGATAAAGAATGCAGACATTCCTGGCACTAAAATATCATCTTCTCTGTTCATTAGTCGTGTCTCCCGGACCCTCTTATATTACGCTTGCTTATCATTTTGAATTTTTATTCACACAAAAAATAGATGACTTACTGTTATTCAGACTACTGCATAATTTGTAATAATTGTATAAATAATATCAGTGCATTCGTGAATGTATATTAAACCAACCATCTGATGTGTATTGGATGTGGGACATGATTTGTTTACTCTTGAACATCGTCAAAAATCTAACATTTTTGCTAATTTCAGCTCAATTTCAAGCTACTTTTATTTGGCAAACCATTCAAAATCATCTCTATTTCTGTAATATATCTTCCATTCTATCAAATGAGACCACACAAACTAGAATACAACCATAAATACCATATGAAAATACACCGCAGTCGTTGTATTAAATCAAAAACACGGTCGCAGCTTGTTTCTCATTATGAACTGCTTGCTGCAGGATTTTTTTATACTGTGCACACTGACCATGCAGACCCATTTTTTCATATAAAGGCCTACCAGCTTTCTCTCAGAAGATCTGAAGCTGTTAGAATTTTGGCGGAATATTACTGGACCAACATTGGCTTCAAAGGCATAATATTAAAGCACAGACACCAAAAGGGTTAACAACCATGGTGACATAACACACCTCTGTCCTGGAGGTAGGAAGTACAGTGCCTGCACTCTGAAAATGGGATGGGGATGTTGCAAACCACAGTACGGGTGGTGTTAGAACCCATGGCAAGCATGCTGTAAAACTCCAGGCCAGGCCAGGCTAGGCCAGGCCAGGCCAGTGCATAAGCCACAGGGCCAGCTGGCTACAATAAGATTCATCCAACTAGGTATGTGAGCTTTACGAATCACTCGCCATGGGTTCTAACCCCACGCATACTGTGGTTTGTTCGCAGTTGTGTTATTTTGATTTCATGAGTTGGGATGTTGCAATTTGCAAGGTCAACCGTACTGTGATGTCGCTGCCCTTCTGACAAGACAGTGGACAAATGATGTTGAAAGTATTTTCCTCTTCTTTGTCTCCTTACCTCGGTGGGAGACAGCCAGTGTTAAAACAAAGGAAAAACAATAGTGGAGAAATATAGCAAAGATTATAGTGACCAATGGGTGTAAAGATGGGCTTTGCAAAAAACCTGACTAGGCAAAGTGCCATATATAAGTATACTGGATTAACTATACAGGCTATGCAAAATAGAAATACACAAGGCATAGAAGTATGGTGGATTACAAGGACAGTGCAAAAATAATTTTGCTTAAATGATAAGATACAAATATATAGAACATCCTGTTAGGCGGTGAGAAACAGAATAATGAATATAAAAACACAAACACATTAATCATGGTCTCAATGAGAGTAAGAACCTAATGAGAGGATATTAAATAAATACTGAGTAGTTAAAAGTAGAGAACAATTTTTTTGGCCTTACCTCAAATGCATCATCATCACTGTCACCCCTGAAGTGTATCAACCATGATGTGGAGTCCTCGTGCAGCTCCAGTTTCCGTCGGATACCCTAGTGATATACCTACATTTAATACCATGTTGTACAAATATGTAAAGTAAAATACATACAGTACAGTAGAGTGACACCTCAGCTATCTGATCTAAGGAGATAGGAGAGGGAGGAGGATGTATTATTGGTTGACATCTCCATACTAAACATCAATGTACAGCCTCTCCTCACTTAGCGACGTACTCATTTACCAACAACTTGGACTTACGATGGGCTCTCTGACCAGTATGCATACCTAAATAATGTATAGTAAAGCTGATTTCCTCTATATTCTGTTTATTACAATATACAGTATACACCTACCATCCGACTTACGACCTGCTCGACATACGTCAACTCAACTTACGACCGTGCATCTGGCAGCTGGGCTGGGCCGGCTGATGCATACCACTGTACAATATTTGACGATACTCGCAGCGGCAATGCGCCATGCAGGCAGCATCAGTTTGAGTAACCCTGCCCTATCAGCAGCATCATACTGTATTAACTGTACTAACTGGACAGTAAATTTCACCATGGCCCCTAAGAGGAAGTCTGAATCTTGCACTGGAGATTGTGGCAAGAAAGGCTCTTACTCTCAAACTCTATTTGTTTTCACTGTTGCACATAAACCTGTCTGTATCTGTTTGCCTGTATATCTGTGTCTGTATCTGTGACTATCTGTCTGTCTATCTGTGTGTCTGTTTATCTGTCTTTATGTCTTCCTGTGTGTGTGTCTATCTGTCTACCTGTGTGTCTGTCTTTTTGTCTACCTGTGTCTGTCTTTCTCTCTGCTTGTCTGTCTCAGAGCCGCTCATTAAGAGTATAATTGGTCTTGAAGACACCATATTAATAATGATAATAACACAATAATAATCACTCTGAGGCACATTAAATGTGTATAAAAAGTTAATATAGACATTTTGCTTAATTCAGCTATGATTTTTTTTCAAAATTATAATAAACATTTTTTTTTTTTTTAACAAGTTGGCCGTCTCCCACCACGGCAGGGTGATCCAAAAAGAAAGAAAATCCCCAAAAAGAAAATACTTTCATCATCATTCAACACTTTCACCTCACTCACACATAATCACTGTTTTGCAGGTGATAAGAACACAACAGCTTAGAAGCAAATACGTATAAAGATAAACAACATATCCCTCCAAACTGCCAATATCCCGAACCCCTCCTTTAGAGTGCAGGCATTGTACTTCCCATTTCCAGGACTCAAGTCCGGCTATATAAAAATAACCGGTTTCCCTGAATCCCTTCACTAAATATTACCCTGCTCACACTCCAACAGATCGTCCGGTCCCAAATACCATTCGTCTCCATTCACTCCTATCGAACACGCTCACGCACGCCTGCTGGAAGTCCAAGCCCCACACCCACAAAACCTCCCTTACCCCTTCCTTCCAACCTTTTCGAGGATGACCCCTACCCCGCCTTCCTTCCCCTACAGATTTAAATGCTCTCCATGTCATTTTACTTTGATCCATTCTCTCTAAATGACCAAATCACCTCAACAACCCCTCTTCAGCCCTCTGACTAATACTTTTATTAACTCCACACCTTCTCCTAATTTCCACACATCGAATTTTCTGCATAATATTTACATCACACATTGTCTGTGGAGACAAAGAACTTTGTCCTTGGAGGCAAAGAGGGGAATGTATGAGAGTATAGTTTTACCAACGCTCTTATATGGGTGTGAAGCGTGGGTGATGAATGTTGCAGCGAGGAGAAGGCTGGAGGCAGTGGAGATGTCATGTCTGAGGGCAATGTGTGGTGTGAATATAATGCAGAGAATTCGTAGTTTGGAAGTTAGGAGGAGGTGCGGGATTGCCAAAACTGTTGTCCGGAGGGCTGAGGAAGGGTTGTTGAGGTGGTTCGGACATGTAGAGAGAATGGAGCGAAACAGAATGACTTCAAGAGTGTATCAGTCTGTAGTGGAAGGAAGGCGGGGTAGGGGTCGGCCTAGGAAGGGTTGGAGGGAGGGGGTAAAGGAGGTTTTGTGTGCGAAGGGCTTGGACTTCCAGCAGGCATGCGTGAGCGTGTTTAATAGGAGTGAATGGAGACAAATGGTTTTTAATACTTGACGTGCTGTTGGAGTGTGAGCAAAGTAACATTTATGAAGGGATTCAGGGAAACCGGCAGGCCGGACTTGAGTCCTGGAGATGGGAAGTACAGTGCCTGCACTCTGAAGGAGGGGTGTTAATGTTGCAGTTTGAAAACTGTAGTGTGAAGCGCCCTTCTGGCAAGACAGTGATGGAGTGAATGATGGTGAAAGTTTTTCTTTTTCGGGCCACCCTGCCTTGGTGGGAATCGGCCGGTGTGATAATAAAAAAAAAAAAAAAAAAAAAAAAAAATAATAAAATTGCCCTTAGACACCTCCTCACTGCTGCATTCACAACCCAAGCTTCACACCCATATAAGAGTGTTGGTACTACTATACTTTCATACATTCCCTTCTTTGCCTCCATAGATAACGTTTTTTGTCTCCACATATACCTCAATGCACCACTCACCTTTTTCCCCTCATCAATTATATGATCAACCTCATCCTTCATAAATGCTATGTAACATATAAACATATAAATTAACAATTTTTTTTTTTCAACAACCCGGCCGTATCCCACAAAGGTAGGGTGGCCCAAAAAGAAAAACAAAAGTTTCTCTTTATAAATTTAGTAATTTATACAGGAGAAAGGGTTACTAGGCCCTTGCTCCCGGCATTTTAGTTGCTTCCTTCAACACGCATGGCTTACGGAGGAAGAATTCTGTTCCACTTCCCCATGGAGATAAGAGGAAATAAACAAGAACAAGAACTAGAAAGAAAATAGAAGAAAACCCAGAGGGGCATGTATATATATGCTTGTACATGTATGTGTAGTGTGACCTAAGTGTAAGTAGAAGTAGCAAGATGTACCGGAAATCTTGCATATTTCTTTCTTCTTTCAACACACCGGCTGTATCCCACCGAGGCGGGGTGGCCCAAAAGGAAAAACGAAAGTTTCTCCTTTTGCATTTAGTAATATATACAGGAGAAGAGGTTACTAGCCCCTTGCTCCCGGCATTTTAGTCGCCTCTTACAACACGCATGGCTTACGGAGGAAGAATTCTGTTCCACTTCCCCATGGAGGTAAGAGGAAATAAACAAGAACAAGAACTAGAAAGAAAATAGAAGAAAACCCAAAGGGGTGTGTTATATATATGCTTGTACATGTATGTGTAGTGTGACCTAAGTGTAAGTAGAAGTAGCAAGACATACCTGAAATCTTGCATATTTACGAGACAGAAAAAAGACACCAGCAATCCTACCATCATGTAAAACAATTACAGGTTTCTGTTTTACACTCACTTGGCAGGACGGTAGTACCTCCCTGGGCAGTTGCTGTCTACCAACCTACTACCTACAATTTTTTTTTTTTTTTTTTTTTTTTTTAACAAGTCGGTCGTCTCCCACCGAGGCAGGGTGACCCCAAAAAAGAAAGAAAATCCCCAAAAAGAAAATACTTTCATCATCATTCAACACTTTCACCACACTCACACATTATCACTTCTTTTGCAGAGGTGCTCAGAATACAACAGCTTAGAAGCATATACGTATAAAGATACACAACATATCCCTCCAAACTGCCAATATCCCAAACCCCTCCTTTAAAGTGCAGGCATTGTACTTCCCATTTCCAGGACTCAAGTCCGACTATATGAAAATAACCGGTTTCCCTGAATCCCTTCACTAAATATTACCCTGCTCACACTCCAACAGATCGTCAGGTCCCAAGTATCATTCGTCTCCATTCACTCCTATCTAACACGCTCATGCAAGCTTGCTGGAAGTCCAAGCCCCTCGCCCACAAAACCTCCTTTACCCCCTCTTTCCAACCCTTTCGGGGACGACCCCTACCCCTCTTCCTTCCCCTATTGATTTATATGCTTTCCATGTCATTCTACTTTGATCCATTCTCTCTAAATGACCAAACCACTTCAACAATCCCTCTTCTGCCCTCTGACTAATGCTTTTATTAACTCCACACCTCCTAATTTCCACACTCCGAATTTTCTGCATAATATTTACACCACACATTGCCCTTAGACAGGACATCTCCACTGCCTCCAACCGTCTCCTCGCTGCTGCATTTACCACCCAAGCTTCACATCCATATAAGAGTGTTGGTACTACTATACTTTCATACATTCCCTTCTTTGCCTCCATAGATAACGTTTTTTGACTCCACATATACCTCAACGCACCACTCACCTTTTTTCCCTCATCAATTCTATGATTAACCTCATCCTTCATAAATCCATCCGCCGACACTTCAACTCCCAAGTATCTGAAAACATTCACTTCTTCCATACTCCTCCTCCCCAATTTGATATCCAATTTTTCTTTATCTAAATCATTTGATACCCTCATCACCTTACTCTTTTCTATGTTCACTTTCAACTTTCTACCTTTACACACATTCTCAAACTCATCCACTAACCTTTGCAATTTTTCTTTAGAATCTCCCATAAGCACAGTATCATCAGCAAAAAGTAACTGTGTCAATTCCCATTTTGAATTTGATTCCCCATAATTTAATCCCACCCCTCTCCCGAACACCCTAGCATTTACTTCTTTTACAACCCCATCTATAAATATATTAAACAACCATGGTGACATTACACATCCCTGTCTAAGACCTACTTTTACCGGGAAGTATTCTCCCTCTCTTCTACAAACCCTAACCTGAGCCTCACTATCCGCATAAAAACTCTTTACAGCATTTAGTAACTTACCACCTATTCCATATACTTGCAACATCTGCCACATTGCTCCTCTATCCACTCTATCATATGCCTTTTCTAAATCCATAATTATTGTTAACATTATTATTATTAATTTAGGGCACTGGAGCACAGATCCACTGTATAGCACTGTCTGGATTTTTGGGGTTATCCTAGGTAATTTATACTATGTATGATAACTTTACTTATGCATACCAGAGAGAGAGAGAGAGAGAGTTAGATAAAGATACAGAGATAGAGATAGAGAGAGATACAGAGAGAGAGAGAGAGATACAGAGAGAGAGAGAGAGAGTGAGACAGAGAGAGACAGAGAGAGACAGAGACAGAGAGAGAGAGACAGAGAGAGACAGAGAGAGAGAGAGAGAGACAGAGAGAGAGAGACTGAGATAGAGAGAGAGACTGAGATAGAGAGAGAGACTGAGACAGAGAGAGAGACTGAGAGAGAGAGACTGAGATAGAGAGACTGAGATAGAGAGAGAGAGACTGAGATAGAGAGACAGCCAAATTCAGTCAGCCAGGTAGCCACCCACCCACCCACCTACCTGGCCAGGTAGCCAGCCAGCCAGCCAGCCGGATACGTATTACACATGTTCCAGAATCGTTTCTCTACTTAGGGCATAGGTTATAGGACATTCTGGCAAGATGACACTACCAGTCGTATTCTCCCGTTCCACTGTGTCGACAATACTTAAAGATAACAGTAACCTATGATACTGTATGAGGTGTAAAATTTGCAATACAGTGCACTACCATGTATACATATTATACAGTATGTACATAAATAATTAAAATATATCAATAGAAGTAAATTATGGTAAAAAAGAATGAAATAATGATTGTACATTACATTACAGTACTATGTAGGTAGTTTATATAGGAAAGGTTTGACATTATGCCCTACCCAGTATGTCGGCAATTTTCAAAGGTTTGACTTACGTCCATTTTGACATACAACCAGTTGGTCGGAACCAAGCTCGGTCGTAAGTCGAATGGTACTTGTACTACTGTATAAACATTTAAAGATATATTAAAAGTTATAAATGGTGCAAAGGTGACATTAAAACAATATCAAAGATGGTTGACACAAACCCACTACCATTATACGTAGTATGTTCCTTGCTTAGACGATGAATTCATTTACCGATGTGGTCTTAGGAACGGAACTCCATCATTAAGTGAAGACAAGCTGTATCTGATCAAAAACCATCACAAAATTCTTTATAAAAAAAAAAAAAAAACTACATTCCTTGACCAATTTCTATAGCATAACAAAATACTTGTCCTTAATACATGCATAATACCACAAATCATTAATGCATCTACAATTAATAAATAAATGTATTTTCCAGGAATATAGATTCAAGCTATAAAAATTACTTTACAAAGGTGTCATGGCTTAGATAAAAAAACTCATAGTTATACAAAGCATTTTGCACAAACTAAGACTCCAACTTAAAAATACCTGACACTGAGGTTTTATTATATGACATAAATGTAGATAAAAAAAAAATAAAAAAATTGAGCATGTTTGATATAAGCAATAAGTCAAATCTAAAAAAAAAAAATTCTACCAAAAATTGGGATATTTTTAACTGGAAATGCCTTTGAGCAAAACCCCAACCCATTAGTTAAGTGAGCAACAAGTGGGATGAGAAACATAAACTATGTTGGCAAACTTCAAAACAGCTTTCACGTGTAATGGGTGAAGAAATACTGTAAAAACTGGTTATGACATCTGACAGACAAACATGGAAAAAGTAAAATATGATGTGCTGTCTACATCAACAAAGTTATGAAAAATTTAAACACACAATAAAATGAAACCCAGAATTAAAAAGAATATATACAGTAAAAACCTCTCATTAACAAACCTCACATTAATGGATTTCAGCTATTTTTGACAAAACAATTATGTGAACAAACAGAAGCATGTCTTCAGTCTTAGTGGCACGCTTGCCCACACACACAAACATGCACATACACACAATTACAATTTCTCCCTAAACCTACCTTAAACATGTCTTCATCCAGCAGTCTCATTTCTGGTAGGAGCGGAAGGACCTCTCTAGCAATCTCCTGGGCATTAAGACTAGATATCTCTCTACCTTCTCCAGACTGGATTTTCCCAATGTCAAAAAACTTGATTCCTGATTGCATACCTAAAGTATTGCAGAAATCCCTCTCCTTGAAGCACTCAACAAACCCCACAGTGACCAAGCCATCCTAGAGGTCAAGCAACTTATTAAAATTAAACAAGTATCATAAACTGGTTCAAACATGACATTAGCAAGTATAATTTATAGTGTAATAATGTTGGTAGAATTACCAACAATGTTAGGTAAAAGAATATGTGCAACTAATGCGACATGACAGAGCTCCTGTAGAGTGAAACATTTCCAGAGTAAATGTGTCACAATAGTTGCACACGTGTCCTTTTACCTAATATAATTTATATTGGCAAAGTTTTTCATTCACATAACAATTATGTAATATTAGAAAAAGGGTAACTTACTAAAATAGAACTTAGTTTAATCTGAGTAACCCAGAAGTCATCAAGTTCATCATTATCATTATGGAAGATAAGTAGCCATGGCTTGTTGGAATATTCCTTCTTTGATAATAATGCTTTAAAGTTAGCACTGGAAAGGCGCACAGCAGACGACTGAACCTTTTGCAGCACATATTTCAACAACTGCTCCTTTGTTTTCTCCTGTGTATATTTAGACCTCTGAAATGAAAATTAAAGGACATTTTTTTGACAGACGTACTTCAAACAGAGCATGAAGAATCACTTGTTAATTTAATGTAGGTTCCTGGCACTATCAAGTTATGTTATGATCTAATGGGACCTTCAAAAGCTCCCCCCCATACAATGCTGTATACTGGAAGCACAATACAGTTAACTTCAACAATATGTATGTAACTCAAAAAATAAATGAAAAGCACTAGATTCAAAGTTTGAAACGGTTATCTAAGATACTTATATCTATGATACTGTGAGACCCTACTGCTCTTCCTTAAAAAAAGTGGTAATCTATGATAGCCCAGTTCTATCCAAGGAACACTACACTTGTCATTGTTTGCTTTGCTTTGCTTAAGATTCATTGGTACTGTCTTGGCCTGGGTCTTTTCCAGATGGTGACCCGGCCTTGGCTCCCTGTCACGGGAGTGTCTTGAAAGGCATGTCAGCTGCATAGCAGCAGGTGATGTCAAGAAAGGGTAAAGGAAGTAATCACTCTGGAGCCACGCCCTAGCTTTAGGCTGCAGCCTGAGCACTGGGGAAGCTCAGCTTCATGATGATTGATTGAAAGTAAGCTTGTTAGTGGAGGGGTAGCGTTTTTGATGTTTCTAAATTTCGTTCTTGAGATGTGAACAAGTATGATCCTGGTATCGAAGTCTGCTTGATATTCTTCGATGTTTTCAAGCATTTCTCGACTTGGAATCCTTGTTCAGTAAGAGTGGATGTAGCATTGGCGGTGATGAGTTTATCGGCCTTGATATAGTCATTGCAGATAACAATGAAGGCGTCATTTAGCGAGAGAATTGCATTAAACTTGACCTGCAGGCTACCCCTGATGGCAGTCACAAGTGCTAGTTTGGTCGAGTCATTTACTGTCCCGCTGTTGGGTTTCATCTTCGCACGATTGGAGTAATTCATCTTGGTGGACCATAGATGAAATCAGTGTGCAGGGTAAAGGTTCCCCTCCCCAACAGGGAGAAAAAAATATTCCTCCTCTTCTATTTTCAAAATAGCATGTGACTGATAAAGGCAATTTATATTTTATTCCTTTTTTTTTTTCAATGCAATGGCTGTATCCCACTGAGGCAGGGTGACCCATACAGAAAAACTAAAGCTTTTCTTTTTACATTTTTTAACACATCGGCCATTTCTCACCAAGGCAGGGTGATCCGAAAAGAATAAATACTTCCTTCATTACTCACTCTATCACAGTCTTGCCAGAGGGGTGCAAATACCACAGTTCAAAAACTGCACCACATCTCCACCCCTTCTTCAGAGTGCAGGCACTGTACTTCTCACCCTGAGGACTCAAGTCCAGCTAACCGGAATATACCAAAAATAACATACATGCTCTCCTCACTTAGTGACGTACTCGTTTACTGACCGCTCAGACTTATGACCAGCTCTCCAAACAGTATGCAAACCTAAGTAATGTATATTAGAGCTGATTTCTTCTATTCTGTTTGTCACAGTACAGTGGTACCTTGACTTACAAATTTAATTCATTCCGGGACTGAGCTCGTAACTCAACATGCTTGTATATCAAATCAATTTTCCTCATTAAAATTAATTGAAATGCCATTAATCCATTCCAGCCCCCAAAACACCACCCCAGTTTTTGTGTTATTGGTTTTTAAATAAGAAAAATGTATTTATAAACAAGAAATATTGTATACTCCACCCACCACCTTCAGTACTACTCCATCCACCACCATGTCTACTACATCCACCACCCTCTCTACTCGCCCACCCTTATCCTACCAGTTGTCTTGGAAGAGCATGTGGGATGGGACAAAGTACCTGACAGTCCTCTGGGTATAGAGTTGGATTTGACTTTAGATACGCCGCCAATTAGTAGCGGTGTATCTGAAGCTCGCTCGTAACTCGGATTTTGGCTTGCAACTCAAAGAAAAAAATTGACAAAGCGATGGCTCGTAATTCGGAAAACTCATAAGTGGGGCACTCGTAAGTCGAGGTACCACTGTATACAGTACACTACTGTATAAATATTTAAAAATATACTAGAAATGTTATAAAAGGTGCAAACTTGACATTAAAAAAATATCTAAAGATGGTTGACACAAACCCACTACCAATATACAGCACAACCTCGGTACTCGAATTTAATCAGTTCCAGAAGGCTGTTCAAGTGCTGATCTGTTCGAGTACCAAATGAATGTTTCCCAACCAATTTTCTTTTTTGTTGGCTGTTATCACTAATCTTCTTAGGCCCCATGGTGACTTATACAAATAAATATAAAATACACCAAAAAAATGCGAAGAAACACGAAATAGTTCACAGCGAAGTTCTGGCAGGCTGTGTTGGTTTGGTCGAGTGCCAAGCGATTTTTCCCAAATAAAGCATTCTAATACAGGGAGGTATTGTGGGCGAAGGGCTTGGGCTTCCAGCAAGCGTGCATGAGCGTGTTAGATAGGAGTGAATGGAGACGAATAATATTTGGGACCTGACAAGCTGTTGGAGTGTGAGCAGGATAATATTTAGTGAAGGGATTCAGGGAAACCGGTTATTTTTATATAGCCGGACTTGAGTCCTGGAAATGGGAAGTACAATGCCTGCACTTTAAAGGAGGGGTTTGGAATATTGGCAGTTTGGAGGGACATGTTGTGTATCTTTATACATATATGCTTCTAAACTGTTGTGTTCTGCGCACCTCTGCAAAAACAGTGATTATGTGCGAGTGAGGTGAAAGTGTTGAATGATGATGAAAGTATTTTCTTTTTGGAGATTTTCTTTCTTTTTCTGTCACCCTGCTTTGTTGGGAGATGGCCAACTTGTTAAAAAAAAAAAAATTACATTATTTTTGTACCACAAAAAGAAACAAAAATTTAATTTTAAAATTTTGAATTTAAGTGGCTCACTCTTTGCTTACAGTAAGCAATGACATATTTTATTAGTCTCTGCTCCAGAAGTCAATCATGTATAACCAGCTGAAGTGTCTGTACTGTGTGTGTCTCTAGGAGTATGTGAAAACTCCTAATGATGAGGTAGTGATAATGCAACTATTTGTAAGCATGTGCAACATTAATGTTTTAAAAGTGATGGCTGGCACTGGCCATTTTTTCATTAATACCGAAACCATAAAAACTTCTAATACCCACCGATACTGATAACGATACCTTGGCCTATCCCTACTATATACTAAGACTGAAGAAGTCACTCATGGTAAAACATCACCATAAGTGACTTCTGAACTATACCCAAGTGTCTATACTCACAACAGTCTTAACCCGTAAACGGTCCAAATGTATATGTACGTAGTGCCCCAACTTTTTTGAGAAAAAAAACATTGCTGTTTTTTAATAGGAAAAAAGAGCATATGGTACCCAGGCATCCCCAATTATTTTAATATGGCACGCAGAGTGCTCACACCCATTCTCTCATGTCTAGGCGACTCAGGCTTATCATGGCAATGTATAATGTATGACACATAAAACGTATACAGGTCTCCCTCAACATTCACGAGGGTTAGGGGATCAAGAGCCTCGCAAATGTTGAAAAATCGTGAATGTTTGGTGCCCCAATATATTGTAGGGAAATATAATACAATACTGCTTCCTTAACTTGTTGAACCATGAACAATCATAAAATACATGAAAACGTCGTAAATTGTACTAAATACATATATTATGCCTTAATAACATGTATGTTATTAAATACCACTGCCTCCACCACTGCGAGTCCCTACTACCCTCCCTCTGACCCCCCACAACTGGCAGCCAGCCCTCCCACCACTGTGAGGCGAGTGTTTTGTTTGTTCATTATTTGCTATTAAACTACAGTATAAATAATGTCAACCCATTTATGACTGCATATTGGAATGGCTATTCGGACAGGTATTGGAAGGTGACATCATGTGTTTACTCTTGAACACAGCAGTCACACTCAATCTACAAGCACCAAATACAATGAATTATTGTGAAATGTTTGGAAGAGCACGGAGACTAATACTCACTCCAGCATAAACAAAGCCACACTGACGATGCGTCAACCACTTCCTCCACCACTGCTTCAGCCCTCGTATTTTTGTACAATTTCCTTCTTCAATTCTATCGTATTTATTATTATTATTATTATTATTATTATTATTATTATTATTATTATTATTATTATTATTATCAGTAGCAGAAATGTTTGATTCTTTGCTGTGTTCAAGAGTAAACACATGATGTCACCTTCCAATACCTGTCCGAATAGCCATTCTAATATGCAGTCATGGATAGGTTTACATTATTTATACTGTAGTTTAATAGCAAATAATGAACAAACAAAACACTCACCACACAGTGGTGGGAGGGCTGGCTGCCAGTTGCAGGGGTCGGAGGGAGGGTAGCAAGGACTCGTCGCGGTAAACTTAAATATGATTTGGCGGCTGGGAATTTGGCGGTTGGGAATTCGCGAATGTGTGAAGCCCGCGAAAGTTGAAAACGCGAATGTTGAGGGAGACCTCTATATACGTTTGGGGCACTAGCGGTAAAAATGTATATATACGTTTGGACCGTTTACGGGTTAATGTACATTTATATTTTCTTGACAACACTTAAATTTTCACCTAAAATTGTTAATACAGTAGGACCCCCATATCCTCAGGTTCTATTTCCGCAGTTTCAGTTATCCATGGTTTACCATGGCCCAAAAATAACCCTTAATTTTGCTTACTAATGATCACAAAGCACCAAAGTAGTGATGATGGCAGTTCTTCAAAACCTAAGAAAAGCCATCAGTGAAAAAGTGATAATTCTTGACTTATTGTGCATAATATATCAACTAAACTATATCATAGGTATGCATATAAACGAAAAAAAACATATAAGGGGTTTGCTACTATCCGTGGTTTCAGGTATCCACAGAAGATCTTGGACTGTATCCCCCTCCAGATATGGGGGTTCTACTGTATTTGTATTAAAATACTTTTGTTCCTTTCATTAATTTATTCAATTACAATTAACACCAGATGACTGATGACTGCCAGATGACTGTGAAACAGAAACCTGTAACTGTTTTACATGATGGTAGGATTGCTGGTGTCTCTTTCTGTCTCATAAACACGCTAGATAACAGGGATATCTTGCTACTCCTATTACACTTTGGTCACACTTCACAGACACGCACATGAATATATATACACATACATCTAGGTTTTTCTCCTTTTTCTAAATAGCTCTTGTTCTTCTTTATTTCTTCTATTGTCCATGGGGAAGTGGAAAAGAATCTTTCCTCCGTAAGCCATGCGTGTCGTATGAGGTGACTAAAATGCCGGGAGCAATGGGCTAGTAACCCCTTCTCCTGTAAACATTTACTAAAAAAGAGAAGAAGAAAAACTTTATAAAACTGGGATGCTTGAATGTGCGTGGATGTAGTGCGGATGACAAGAAACAGATGATTGCTGATATTATGAATGAAAAGAAGTTGGATGTCCTGGCCCTAAGCGAAACAAAGCTGAAGGGGGTAGGGGAGTTTCGGTGGGGGTAAATAAATGGGATTAAATCTGGAGTATCTGAGAGAATTAGAGCTAAGGAAGGGGTAGCAATAATGTTGAAGGATCAGTTATGGAAGGAGAAAAGAGAATATGAATGTGTAAATTCAAGGATTATGTGGATTAAAGTAAAGGTTGGATGCGAAAAGTGGGTCATAATAAGCGTGTATGCACCTGGAGAAGAGAGGAATGTAGAGGAGAGAGAGATTTTGGGAGATGTTAAGTGAATGTATAGGAACCTTTGAACCAAGTGAGAGAATAATTGTGGTAGGGGGCCTGAATGCTAAAGTAGGAGAAACTTTTAGAGAGGGTGCGGTAGGTAAGTTTGGGGTGTCAGGTGTAAATGATAATGGGAGCCCTTTGATTGAACTTTGTATAGAAAGGGGTTTACTTATAGGTAATACATATTTTAAGAAAAAGAGGATAAATAAGTATACAAGATATGATGTAGGGCAAAATGACAGTAGTTTGTTGGATTATGTATTAGTAGATAAAAGACTGTTGAATAGACTTCAGGATGTACATGTTTATAGAAGGGCCACAGATATATCAGATCACTTTTTAGTTGTAACTACACTGAGAGTAAAAGGTAGATGGCATACAAGGAGAATAGAAGCATCAGGGAAGAGAGAGGTGAAGGTTTATAAACTAAAAGAGGAGGCAGTTAAGGTAAGATATAAACAGCTATTGGAGGATAGATGGGCTAACGAGAGCATAGGCAATGGGGTCGAAGAGGTATGAGGTAGGCTTAAAAATGTAGTGTTAGAGTGTTCAGCAGAAGTTTGTGGTTACAGGAAAGTGGGTGCGGGAGGGAAGAGGAGTGATTGGTGGAATGATGATGTAAAGAGAGTAGTAAGGGAGAAAAAGTTAGCATATGAGAAGTTTTTACAAAGTATTAGTAATGCAAGGAGGGAAGAGTATATGGAGAAAAAGAGAGAGGTTAAGAGAGTGGTGAAGCAATGTAAAAAGAGAGCAAATGAGAGAGTGGGTGAGATGTTATCAACAAATTTTGTTGAAAATAAGAAAAAGTTTTGGAGTGAGATTAACAAGTTAAGAAAGCCTAGGGAACAAATGGATTTGTCAGTTAAAAATAGGAGAGGAGAGTTATTAAATGGAGAGTTAGAGGTATTGGGAAGATGGAGGGAATATTTTGAGGAATTGTTAAATGTTGATGAAGATAGGGAAGCTGTGATTTCATGTACAGGTCAAGGAGGAATAACATCTTGTAGGAGTGAGGAAGAGTCAGTTGTGAGTGTGGGGGAAGTTAGTGAGGCAGTAGGTAAAATGAAAGGGAGTAAGGCAGCTGGGATTGATGGGATAAAGATAGAAATGTTAAAAGCAGGTGGGGATATAGTTTTGGAGTGGTTGGTGCTATTATTTAATAAATGTATGGAAGAGGGTAAGGTACCTAGGGATTGGCAGAGAGCATGCATAGTTCCTTTGTATAAAGGCAAAGGGGACAAAAGAGAGTGCAAAAATTATAGGGGGATAAGTCTGTTGAGAATACCTGGTAAAGTGTATGGTAGAGTTATTATTGAAAGAATAAAGAGTAAGATGGAGAATAGGATAGCAGATGAACAAGGAGGCTTTAGGAAAGGTAGGGGGTGTGTGGACCAGGTGTTTACAGTTAAACATATAAGTGAACAGTATTTAGATAAGGCTAAAGAGGTTTTTGTGGCATTTATGGATTTGGAAAAGGCATATGACAGGGTGGAAAGGGGGGCAATGTGGCAGATGTTGCAGGTGTATGATATAGGAGGTAGGTTACTGAAAGCAGTGAAGAGTTTTTACGAGGACAGTGAATACAGGAAAGAGTAAGGTTATGAGGATAACAAAAAGATTAGGTGATGAAAAATTGGATATCAGATTGGAGGGAGAGAGTATGGAGGAGGTGAATGTATTCAGATATTTGGGAGTGACTCACGAAATCGTAATGACACGAGTCATGTTGACGGCAGTGAGGGGACTTGAGCTAGAGTTCGTCACGGCCACGCTAGCTGGAGATTCGTCTGTAAAAACTTGCATTTGTGGTCACAGTGGTGCCTATGCTAACCTTCCTATGGTGTAGAAATATACCTAGTTGGACGAATATTATTGTGGCTAGTTGGTCCAGTGGCTAATGCGACGGTCTGGAGTTTTGAGACTCTCTGACCGCGGGTTCAAATCCCACCTGTGGCATGGTTTATTTGGGAGTGGACGTGTCAGCGGATGGATCTATGAAAGATGAGGTGAATCAGAATTGACGAGGGGAAAAGGGTGAGCAGTGCACTTAGGAGTCTATGGAGACAAAGAACTTTGTCCTTGGAGGCAAAGAGGGGAATGTATGAGAGTATAGTTTTACCAACGCTCTTATATGGGTGTGAAGCATGGGTGATGAATGTTGCAGCGAGGAGAAGGCTGGAGGCAGTGGAGATGTCATGTCTGAGGGCAATGTGTGGTGTGAATATAATGCAGAGAATTCGTAGTTTGGAAGTTAGGAGGAGGTGTAGGATTGCCAAAACTGTTGTCCAGAGGGCTGAGGAAGGGTTGTTGAGGTGGTTCGGACATGTAGAGAGAATGGAGCGAAACAGAATGACTTCAAGAGTGTATCAGTCTGTAGTGGAAGGAAGGCGGGGTAGGGGTTGGCCTAGGAAAGGTTGGAGGGAGGGAGTAAAGGAGGTTTTGTGTGCAAGGGGCTTGGACTTCCAGCGGGCATGCATGAGCGTGTTTGATAGGAGTGAATGGAAACAAATGGTTTTTAATACTTGACGTGCTGTTGGAGTGTGAGCAAAGTAACATTTATGAAGGGATTCAGGGAAACCGGCAGGCCGGACTTGAGTCCTGGAGATGGGAAGTACAGTGCCTGCACTCTGAATGAGGGGAGTTAATGTTGCAGTTTAAAAACTGTAGTGTAAAACACCCTTCTGGCAAGACAGTGATGGAGTGAATGATGGTAAAAGTTTTTCTTTTTCGGGCCACCCTGCCTTGGTGGGAGTCGGCCGGTGTGCTAATAAAAAAAAATAATAAATTAACACCAGCAAGCTTTTTACATTAAATACTGAAGAATGCTTGCTACTACAAACAAAACCAGTTACACTATCTGGCCTCCGGAAGTTAGGTTACTCCTAACTCTCTGCAAAATATACTGTTATGCAGTACATGTTATTTCTGAGAGTCACTTACCCCAGGATAGGAGAGGAGTGTTGGATAGGAGTGTATGCCTTGGGAAGAACACAGGTGGTAGTCATCATCACAATTCACTGCTCCTATTCTAACCACTCCTTCTAGTTCCCTGGCAACCTCTCGCCACACTGGAGCCAATGTGTGGCAGTGGGAACACATTGGGTGGTAGAAGTTTATGAACCATATATCTGGTGATCCACTCACGCTTTGTTCTGGCGAAAAGAATTCAAATATATAAAAGCAATAACAAAAAGGCACAATACCGTGACTGGAACAACATACAAATAACCCGCACATAGGAGAGAGGAGCTTACAATGACGTATCGGTCCGACTTGGACCATTTACAAAATCACACTAACAAAAACGAGAGAAGGAGGGAGTATACATAGGCCAGCAGAGAGGGACAGGACAAGAGGGTAGTAGGAAAGGAAGGAAAGTAGTGGTAGAGATGGTGGTGGTGGTAGTAGTAGTAGTAGTAGTAGTAGTAGTAGTACTACGCAGTAGTAGTAGTAGTACTACGCAGTAGTAGTAGTAGTACTACGCAGTAGTAGTAGTACTACGCAGTAGTAGTAGTACTACGCAGTAGTAGTAGTAGTACTACGCAGTAGTAGTAGTAGTATGCAGCAGTAGTAGTAGTAGTATGCAGTAGTAGTAGTAGTACTACGCAGTAGTAGTAGTAGTAGTATGCAGTAGTAGTAGTATGCAGTAGTAGTAGTACGCAGTAGTAGTAGTAGTACGCAGCAGTAGTAGTAGTAGTACGCAGCAGTAGTAGTAGTAGTAGTACGCAGTAGTAGTAGTAGTAGTACGCAGTAGTAGTAGTAGTACGCAGTAGTAGTAGTAGTACGCAGTAGTAGTAGTAGTACGCAGTAGTAGTAGTATGCAGTAGTAGTAGTAGTACGCAGTAGTAGTAGTAGTACGCAGTAGTAGTAGTAGTAGTAGTACGCAGTAGTAGTAGTAGTAGTAGTACGCAGTAGTAGTAGTAGTACGCAGTAGTAGTAGTAGTACGCAGTAGTAGTAGTACGCAGTAGTAGTAGTACGCAGTAGTAGTAGCAGTACGCAGTAGTAGTAGCAGTACGCAGTAGTAGTAGCAGTACGCAGTAGTAGTAGCAGTACGCAGTAGTAGTAGCAGTACGCAGTAGTAGTAGCAGTACGCAGTAGTAGTAGCAGTACGCAGTAGTAGTAGCAGTACGCAGTAGTAGTAGCAGTACGCAGTAGTAGTAGCAGTACGCAATAGTAGTAGCAGTATGCAGTAGTAGTAGTAGTATGCAGTAGTAGTAGTAGTACTCAGTAGTAGTAGTAGTAGTAGTAGTACACAGTAGTAGTAGTAGTAGTAGTGGTAGTATGCAGTAGTAGTAGTAGTAATAGTGGAGTCAGTCAAAGACTAACAAAGAGGAGCACTGCAAGAGAGCTAGAGACCCACAAAGGGTAGGAACAAGAACACAGAGAGGAGGAAATAATAATGATGGACCAAATACCCAAGGCAGAAGAAAGAAAACCCAAAGGAGAGAGAGGAAAGAGGAAAGGGGAAGAGGGAGAAGGGGGGAAAAAAGAATCAGGTAAAGTCATGGGTGTTCTGAAGTTTGGAGCATTTTACAATGTGATGGAAAAGGAAGGCATCTACAGAGACAAAGTCACGACTAAGATTCATACAAAGAAAATTGTGTATAAGGGAGGGTTCAACCAGACGGTGACTGTGAAAGTTAGATGTAGGGTAGACAGTTTTAGCAGAAGGCCAGTCAATAGGATGATTGTATCTTTGACATGACAGACACCAACAATGCTGTTTCCTGTCATGTCAGAGATCACAAACATCCTATTGACTGGTCTTCTGTCTACCCTACATCTAATTTTCACAGTTGTCATCTGGTTGAATCCTCCCTCATACACAACTTTCTCTGTATGAATCTTAGTTCTGGCTTTGTCTCTGTAAATGCCTTCCTTTCCCATTACATTGTAAAATGCTCCAAACTTCAGAACACCATGACTTAACCTGATTCTTTTTTCCCCCCTTCTCCCTCTTCCCCTTTCCTCTTCTCCCTCTTCCCCTTTCTCATACCTCTTCCCCTTTCTCATACCTCTTCAACCTCTTTGCCTATACTCTCACTAGCCCATCTTTCTACCAATAGTTGTTTATGTCTTACCCTAACTCTCTTCTCCTTTAGTTTATAAATCTCTCTCTTACTTAGTAAGTAAGTTTATTCAGGTACAGTATACACAAACACAGTTACATAGATTATCATACGTGGCAACATATGTGTAGATAACCTAGGATAACTCAAAAAATCAGACAAAGTGACTTATTTCCATTGATGCCATTCTCTTGTTTCCCATCTAACTTTCATTCTCACTGTTGTTACAACTAAAAAATTATCTGATATATCTGTGGCCCCTCCATAAACATGCACATCCTGAAGTTTACCCATCAGTTTTTTATCTACCAATACAAAATCTAATAAACTACTGTCATTTTGACCTATATCATATCTTGAATACACATTTATCCTAATTTTTCTTAAAATATGTATTACATATTACCAAACCCCTTTCTATACAACATTCAATCCAAGGCCGCCCTTCATTATCATTTGCACCTAGCACCCCAAACTCACCTATCACACCCTCTATAACCATTACACCCACTTTAGCATTCATATTATACAAGCTATTTTGAGTCCAAAATCAAAATGCTTTTTAAGCTCTCTTATTTTGATAAATTAGACACATGTGCAACTCTTGGGTATCTTTATTGAGGAAACGTTTCGCCACACAGTGGCTTCATCAGTCCGTACAAAGGAGAATCTTGAAGAACAGGAGGAGAATGAGGTAATCAGTCCCTCAACCTTGAGTCGATGTGGTCAGTCCATCAATCTTGAATAGAGTACGTACTCTATTCAAGATTGATGGACTGACCACATCGACTCAAGGTTGAGGAACTGATTACCTCATTCTCCTCCTGTTCTTCAAGATTCTCCTTTGTACGGACTGATGAAGCCACTGTGTGGCGAAACGTTTCCTCAATAAAGATACCCAAGAGTTGCACATGTGTCTAATTTATCAACATGTCGGTTCTCTGAACCGACATACAGTGGACCCCCGGTTAATGATATTTTTTCAATCCAGAAGTATGTTCAGGTGCCAGTACTGACCGAATTTGTTCCCATAAGGAATATTGTGAAGTAGATTAGTCCATTTCAGACCCCCAAACATACACGTACAAATGCACTTACATAAATACACTTACATAATTGGTCGCATTCGGAGGTGATCGTTATGCGGGGGTCCACTGTATTTACTTTTGAAAAATCAAGTTATATTACAACATGCTCACAGCAGGCCAGAGGCAGAAAGACAATCAATCAAATGCCTGGCTCTAATGTTCAAATTAAATTTCCACTAGTGCAACAATGGACTGCAATGAGGGGCCCCTTTAAATGTTGTTCCCTTCTGGGCCTTTGGATCTCTAAATCCACTACTGTCAACTCATTAGACACCCCTAGGTAGATGACCAATCTTGCACCCATTAAAATATAAACAAGGCCTGGGAGCAAGCTATGTAATTATCTGTGATGCAAGATAATAAAGTTACTCATAAGGAAGTGGAAAAAGAATCTTTCCTCTGTAGGCCATGTGTGTTGTAAGTGGTGACTAAAATGCCAGGAGCAAGTGGCTAGTAACTACTCCTGTATAAATTACTAAATCTTCTTTCAATAAACTAGCCATATCCCACTGAGGCAGGGTGGCCCAAAAAGAAAAAGAAAAGTTTCTCTTTTTTAACTTTAGTAATGTATACAGGAGAAGGGGTTACTAGCCCCTTGCTCCCGGCATGTTAGTCGCTTCTTACAACATGCATGGTTATGGAGGAAGAATTCTGTTCCACTTCCCCATGGAGGAAATAAACAAGAACAAGAAATAGTAAAATAGAAAACCCAGAGATATGTATGTATGTATGTATGTATGTATGTATGTATGTATGTATGAGTGTATATATTTGTGTGTGTGTATATATATATATATATATATATATATATATATATATATATATATATATATATATATATATATATAATATATATATATATATATATATATATATATAATATATATATAATATATATATATATATATATATATATATATATATATATATATATATATATATATATATATTTATATACAGTGGACCCCGGTTAACGATATTTTTTCACTCCAGAAGTATGTTCAGGTGCCAGTACTGACCGAATTTGTTCCCATAAGAAATATTGTGAAGTAGATTAGTCCATTTCAGACCCCAAACATACACGTACAAACGCACTTACATAATTGGTCGCATTTGGAGGTAATCGTTATGCGGGGGTCCACTGTATATATATATATATATACATATATATACATATAAAAAGAATAAGAAGAAGAAAATTGTCAAAGTGAGAAGTCTGAATGAGCGTGGATGTTGTGCAAATGATAAGAAAGAGATGATTGTGGATGTTATGAATGAGAAGAAGCGGAGTCCTGGCTTTAAGTGAAACAAAGCTGAAGGGGGTGGGAGAGTTGCAATGGAGAGGAAAAAATGGGTTTAGGTCAGGGGTTTCAAATAGAGTTAGAGCTAAAGAAGGAGTAGCAATAATGTTGAAGGATAAGCTATGGCAGGAAAAGAGGGAAACTATAAATGTATTAATTCAAGGATTATGTGGAGTAAAATAAGATTGGATGTGAAAAGTGGGTTATAGTAAGCGTGTATGCACATGGAGAAGAAAGAAGTGTGGGAGCAGAGAGAGAGATTTTGGGAAATGTTGAGTGAATGCGTGGGGGAGCTTTGAATCAAGTGTGAGAGTAATGGGGGTTTGTGGTATTTCAATGCTAAAGGGGAAAAAATGTTATGGAGGGAGTGAGGTAAATTTGGAGTGCCGGGGTAAATGTAAATGGGGAGCCTTTAATTGAGCTATGTGTAGAAAGAGATTTGGTAATTTTTTTTTTTTTTTTTTTTTTTTTTTATCACACCGGCCGATTCCCCAAGGCAGGGTGGCCCGAAAAAGAAAAACTTTCACCATCATTCACTCCATCACTGTCTTGCCAGAAGGGTGCTTTACACTTTCAGTTTTTAAACTGCAACATTAACACCCCTCCTTCAGAGTGCAGGCCCCTGTACTTCCCATTTTCCAGGACTCAAGGGCCGGGCCCGCCGGTTTCCCTGAATCCCTTTTATAAATGTTA